GTGCACCCAGTTTTTTTCTGTGGGTGCACCAGTGCACCCAAATATTTTTGTAAATTTACGTATGTAAAGATGTTCAATGTCTAGTAGTACATAGCATATTCTTAACATTTAAGTGTCAAAAAAACAATAAAATCTTTGTCATAGTACTTTTCTTTAGAAATAAATCATAAGTTTTGGTGACATTCTACTTATTTCATCTTATACATGCTACATGGTGCAGCCAAGAAATTTTTGTGCACCCAATGTTTTAGGTTGTGTGTACCAGTGCACCTATTCCCAGAAATGAATTTCGAGCCCTGCCGGATAATCTGTCATACTCAGAGGGTCATATAAACATGAACGGACATTCACTGTATAGTGCTATCTCTAGTTTAAGGACATGTCTACATGTGGTGTGTTTGTGGCTTTGTTGTGATGTTTGTGGTTAAACTCAAGAGGCTATGGATGGAATGTTATGATATTTGTTAAGTGGTTTACAGTCTTGCCCTGTTGAAGAAATAGTTGGGTTTTGTTGGGTTTTGCAGTGCCATATACTTGGTGAACTATGTGTAATCATTGAGCATTCAGTGATAAAACATGGTGATGTTTAAATCCATTTCTCCAAAAACTGCCAAAGTTCTACCTTGTGTAACTCTGTTTTTATATATTTGTGTATTTTTGAGCTGTACCTTATGTAAAATGTGTAGTTTTGTGTAAAATTTATCTCTTTTCAATGTATCTTACTGATAATGTAAACATCAGTCACTCAACTTATAGGTTATATTGGGGCTTTTAAAAGGTTAAACTCAGGTTAGCCTGTTGTACCACTTCATAAAACCCAATTTAGCTGCCAGGTTTTAGACAACTTAGATATAATTACCCGTTCCAGTTATACAAATCTAATCGTTCGAAAACAGCTCCGTTTTGTGGGTGAGAAAAAATTGATAACGACAGTTGTCTGTAGCACTTGAACAGGTTGAACACAGGTGAAATTCCAACCATGTTTTTGATAAGACCAGTGAAACCTGGACCAGAGTTTACAGTCCAACTTCCAAGGACTGCAGCAAAAACAACAAACAACAGCCTCCGGGCTGGGGCTGAACTTTCCACCTGCCGGTCAATAGCCGATTGGCTAGGCTAGCAGTAATGAGATCAAGAGGTCACGGGTTCGATCCCCAGGCATTCTTGGCTTAACGTTGTGTAAGTGGGAGAGACACTAAATACAAAACTTATAATAATTTCCTCACTCCACCCAGATGTAAAATGGGTACCTGACTTCCAAAACTGTCGCTCATTTAAGAACCCACTGCCTCAGATTGGACTACCTTTCTTTACACATACTGTTACTGTATTTATGTTCTACTTTCTTATATATGACTATGGATATATAGATGTTTGTCTGTGTTCCAGTAAACTTTGCAACAACCTTAACTTATGAGGAGTCACATGCAGGCCTTGGTTTTCTGCCAGGAGACACACCCCCTGGCATCAGCCAATCACGGCCCAGATAGGGGCGACGCCCACAAATGTTGTTTACCACATTGAGCCAATGTTTACGAAGCACTGTGGGCCAACAGCTGATTTGGACTTACACACAAAATCACTGAAGAGTAAAATAAACAGGTACGTAACTGTGCACATGTAACAGTGCAGAACGTCATATATAACCTCCACCCTGCTAAGGACCTATTTTACATGCAGGTTTGCAGTGTTTTTAATAGAAGTTAGCATTGAGAGGGCCAAACACTTACAAATTTCCCCCTCAGAAATACTGTGAGAGAATATCCAGCTATAGTAACACACAGTAAGACTGTCCAACATTAAAAAAAAACAGACATTTTCGTCACCAAGCAGATACTGAGGTGAAAGATTGTGATGATTTCAGAAAGCGAACGCCACTTCGATTCAGAAGTCTGAAGAAATAGAAAGGAAAGGAAATACAGTAATTCACTTTGTCTTCACGGTCGCAAATTTCACAGTGGCAGCAAGTTCAGGGAGGGGCGAAGGCAAATGATTTGGTAACGATAATGCGTAGGTAGGCATGCGTACAAAGTGACCACGAAAACAGTGAACATAAAAGTACTGTGAAAAACAATCAGGAATTACAGTAACCATTTCATGATAATTACTTAATTGCGCAACAGTTGTACAGTGTACAAAGTATGGCATCTACTAAGTTAAGTAAGTACATGTCAACTACATTTTCATAAGGCTAACCTAATGCAAAAGTGGGTGGCTAGTATGAGATAGGTATCAACTTACAAATCGTTGGAGGAGTTTCTAATATTCATACAGTCTTTAATATATATCCTTATGTATAGCATGTAGGGGTTGTCACAAGTCAATATGTATTAAAATACAGATGCACATGGGCTGTGTCAGTCCTTTGTTCGTTGCTGTTGGCATGGCAACAGGCAGGTGCCCTGCATACCTGTGCTCATCCCACAGACAACAGCGCAAAGCTCCACATCTGGGTCAGGTCAACGACCTCACCAGTTTACAGAACCAGGGATTTCCAACATAAACAACGTGTCAAAGGAGTTCTGATGATACAGGTTACGGTAACGCATACCTTATTTTTTGTTTGGTTAAACAATGGTTATGAAATATGCAAGGCATTTCAATAGAAGTTATTAGAGGTAGGTATGCGTGGCAGGGCAAGGGGTGTGTCATTTGATTGACAGGGTTAAATTATGCGTAAAAACTTACCCTTTCTGCATTATTTTGAAAAAAGACGCCACATTACACATTTGCAGTGTCGGTATCATACATAGATCAGATTATTATATATGTGTATATCTTCCTGAAACAAGAATGGTGGTGGAATGTTTCAAACTTTGTTAAAACACACATGCTACTTTGATTGACCTGTATATGCTTGTACATATGCATGTAATGATGCCCTAAATTCTGTGTGACAACCTGTACTCTGCCCTCTGGGACAGGGAGGTACTAGTGATTAACTCTAATAAATCAATTACAAAGAAAAGCCCGCAGCCGCAGGTGTTTTCACAGCATGAGATCCACCTTTTCCAGTCTCTGCCCTCCTTGTCTAAAGTAAAGACTAGCCTGGTATCCCGTCTATAGTGGTCGGTGCATAGCCTCTACCAGGCACCGCGGATCGCTGGAAAAATAGTAGAAATTGACCGGACCCCACGGGTTGCGAATTGGACCTTCTATGGCCCGGGATCCTCTCTGGTAATATACTATCCCTTTATTTCGGCCAATTTCTACAATTTTCCAGCGATCCGCGGTGCCTGGTAGAGGCTAGTTAGGGCAGGCTGTCTTCGGGGCTTAATTTTCCATAGGCTGTGTTATGCCCAGCTCAACTGGTCATTCGGTGGGAGTGTTACATGACTAGTATCTGTATCTGTATCTGTATAGCCGGTATAACCGCCTTTCGGCGTAACACACCAGCTTAGTAGTGATGCATACCTAAACCCAATTTTAGGTTCAGGTCCGGATTCAAGTCCAGACGTTTTAGGTTCAGGTCCGGACTTGTAAGTCCGGACCTAAACCCATGGCATATACAAAATTGAATGTTGGCAACCTTGCAATGTTGTCTTGGTGAAACTTTGGCCACATAACATGGAGGCCGGTACTTGACGATGCCCGATGGCAATGTTTTCTTCGTTTTGCATCAAAGATTTTACAATCTACGGAAGGTTTTAGGTGGTTTGGAAAGAAAAGGGGTATGTGAAATGGTCTTTTCTTATGGTAATAAGTCCGGACTCGGCTCTTGACTTTTAGGTTTTTTTGGACTTGAACCTAAACATTCTTACAAGTCCGGATCCAAGTCCAGTGAACCGGTATGCATCACTAATGACTAGAGCTTTGCTAATAGAGTTTTGTATGCCAGGAGTTGATTTGCCCTAGCCTGGGTGCCAAAAAAATTTTTCGGGGTAGCCCTTACAAATCGGATGGCACCCAGGCTAGATTTGCCCCACTACTTGAACTCTTGCTGTGCAAAACCTACCGGGGAACCTAGCTTAGTTGGGCGGGGAAGAGCTTCAGCAGCCCTGAAGAAAACCCACCCCAACCGCGAAAGACTGGACACAATTTTGTGCTTATGAACCTGCATTTCCCCTCTGGTCTCTCAGTCACTGACGAAAGCTAGTGGATACTAGCTGAAACGTCTGACGTTTTCAAAATCATATCCAGTTGTTTGAGTAACTGCTTTTTGGTGTATTGTATTACCTGGATGTCTAACCTTCATCAACGTGACTGGACAGCTCGGACACCAGGCTAGACTGGATTGTGAGTTTTCTTCTGTTAACCGACACTAAAAATGAGCCCAGCTGGACAAAACTAAAAATACAGACTGTACTCAACTCTGAGGTCTGATAGCCATATTTGCTGTACTCAGTTTTGAACCAGACTGAGAGACCACTACTATCTGATCGCCCCAGTATGTGGAAAGGCTCCCTTATCTAAAACTGCCAAACCACAACCAGCTAGCTCCGGTCAAACCTAGAGCAAATCAGGCAACCAAAGCAGATTTTATCTGTACAGTACCTGATCAGAAATAACAGATTGGCAATTTGTTGAAATTGTCTGCAATGACCATTGATTATGTTTCATACAATTATTACAAAAGTGCTTCAAGTTGATGGGGTGCATTTTGATGATTACAGTTGATTTGCCGAATTTCCCACTCCGGATGCGGGTAGTGGTAAAACCGGTTGTACAAAAGATCCCACATTTTCCTTTCACTGACTAGAGGTGACAAGAATGGCCCCAGGATATGTCAATATTGTCTGAAAATGTCTTTTCAATCTTCTGCCCCACCTTCTAATACTGTTGCACCCCCCCTCCCCATTTATGCTATATCATTTTCATATTTTCAACTCAACATTACTAAATTGCTAGTGTAAGATTGCGGAAATGCTTTGAATCATATTTCAGACTTAATTTTTTTTGGGGGGGGGGGATTGTGTGTGTGTGTTTGTTTCCATGGCAACTGATTGATGATGTGAAATTTACCAGAAAAGGTTAAATAATTTTTCATGAAGGTTACTTACGCACAGGATCCGCCACGGTCATTTCTCTGTTCAGCCTGATATCAGCAGGAACTGTCTTCTCGATCAGTTCTTCCATACTCTGTACACAGAAAACAGGAAAAACACAAGAAATCATGAAAAATATAGTCTCTACCAGGCTTCAGAGGTGGCTCGATAGAGTAGAAAGTAACTCAATAGACAGATAACATGCCAGGGGAGTTGGTCCACAAAAGGTGTACAGTTTGCTACTCCCCTGGCATGTTATCTCTCTGTTTGGCCAATTTCTACTCTTTTTAGCCTCCTCTGAAGCCTGCTAGAGGCTATCAAAAATATACCCGCTACACCAATATGGATGTTATGGTAAGTGATTACGCAAGCAATTTGCAGACGACGTTTTTTACTTCGGACGACGCCATTGCACGATTTTACAAAATTTCTACTATTGATAATATTCACGATAATTTCCCACTAACTAAATTTTACCTCACATTCTACAACAGTGTACAGTTTGGGATCTGGGGTATAAGTCTGTGCAGAAAATATGCGGGGAAATGTTTGAAAATATGAATTTTCGCGGGCGAACAACGCCCCTGCAAACCTGACCATCTAGGGCAGCAGCCTCTCCATCTAGGGCTCTCCTGACCATAGATGGTAAAAACGCAAATATTCACCCGGCCTATGATCGTGCCCTGTTCATTTGTTGGTGCACGTTGTTGCTGGGATTATAGTTGTGGGTTTTCTTATGTAGCCACGATGTTAACCACAATCAAAATCGTGTTTTATTCCCCGTGAAGAGATCGGAACTGATGTGACGAGCGGTGGAACCAGTTTTAACCGACTGGAGCGGAAACGCGATAATCAAGTTCTCGTGTTTACGGAACGATCGCAGCAAAATTTCTACCAACCTTCACTCCCAAAACTTGTAACATCGCCTGCTTGTCATGGTCCCTGGGTCCGATATGGCGATCAACAAAGCAGTCGTGGCGGGGGTAAATCCTTTCCAGCCCGCGGGGGCCCTCCGCATCGGACGCCAGGCTGGATTTCCTCGGCAGGGCACAGCCACGACTCGCGCGAAATTTGGTTCGGCGCCCGGTAGCGAGCCGGCCGCCGTCAGAGTTCGCCGGGAGCCGGCGGACGCCGCCCGCTTCAGCGTACGGCCTCGCGAGGCCACCGTCACACATCTGGCCAGCCTCTGCATTGTTGTTACGTCCTAGATTCCGCTAAAACCTCTAAAAACCGTCCTCCGGAACCAATGTCCCCTTGCTTGCGTGCGTCTGAACAAGAGTGGAGGCTGTGACACAAACTCTTCGAAATTTTAATCATCGTAGTCTCGTATATTATCGCGAGAGTTCACACGGACGAGATCTGTCCCTCCCACCAATCACAATTAAGCCGATTCGATATCAGCCAATCAGCGCGGAGTAAACAATGACGCAATCGTGGGATGATAATAACACCCCAAACCAGTTTGGGTCAGTTTTGCGGGTTAGTTTTTTGGTCTGACCTATTTTGAAGCGCTCGTAACAACTGTCATGGAAATTGCACGCAGATACAGCCTTGTCCTGGCGAAACTGCGATATAATATCTGTATTTGAAAGCAGTTATGAAATAATAATTCATACTTTTACGTTGATCCTTTCTAGGTCCTTGTTGTATTTGTAAACTTTCACATTGAGTAAACTTTACACTTAAGTAAAAGTGGTGTCTGACTTTTTGTTTGTTTCCATGTTTACCTGGGACACATAGTGATCGTAGATTTGTTTCGGCATTGTACGTAACAACTGAAAATTCACTGTGGTAATACCAATGTTTTAACAGTATAAAAATGAATGAATATCCAAAGATACGAAGTTCTTTCTGATATGCAGTGAGCAAAAAGAACACAAAGGATATTTCGAGCTTTTGATTTAAATGTTATGTAAGAAGCTATAAAATGTTAATTAATTCCATGAATGACAACCATCTAGAGTTTGAGTTTATTGCGCTCCACAATTAGCATACATACTATAGTTGCTATTCTTCCGGTGGTCCTACATATTTATACAACACTAGATGATACACTGATAATTTAACAGTAAACGAGTATTGTTACGTTAATGAATAAATGTAGAGAAGAACAACGTTAACGTTATAAAAGCACATTGTATGAAATACAAGGGGCTGAATAAAAACAGATAGGAATAGATAATAAGATATGCCGACTTTCTCGGTCTGTTTGAAAAGCATAACTGTTGTAAACAAGTGTAGAGTTGTATTTTCTCTGTCGTTCGTCTGTCGTGCCTTTTTGCCAGACTATTAAATAAAACGTCTGAGAACCGCGCCAGCTGACATGTCATAGCAGGGATCGAACCCGCACCCTCTTACATACCAGCAATGTAACGTGTGTGATATGATCGGCGAGGACAGGGGGTCACATATCTCACCCGCTCAGGACAGGGCCAAATTTGTGTGGATCTGACCTGCCACTGGATAAGTAAACAAGTATACATGTAGATTCACGGTCGGAACATCCAGTAGCCAGCAAAAGATACTCTCCAAGCAGAGGTTGACGGTGGAAGATCGTTTGCTTTTTATATATGGCCTTTTTTTGTCTCTACCACCACCAAATGGGTGGGGAAATGGTTACAGACTGGCCAATTTTATACTGTCTTACCCCCACCAAAAGATCTGCTTGGAGATTAGCGAAAGATTCGCTTCAGTGCTTGAAGATTCCGGTTCCCTCTGGGACAGTTCATTTAGCAAAACTCCCGCCCCTCTAATTATTTGGATGAGACTTCGGGGAATTCAGACTCCGCCCAGACAACAAGAGTTTGGGGTGAGGAGGATCGACTGGGATGATTCAGAGACTCTGGTGATGTTTGCTGTATTTAAAACCTGGGGCAAACTTTCTCTGTTCTTGGATATGCGGAGACCAAAGGACATAGATATATCTATAGGCACGGATCTGGACGGTTCATTTATTTCGCAAAACTCCCGACCCTCTAATTATTCTGATGACACTTCAGAGAATTCTATCTCTGCTCAAACAAGACCTCGAAAACCTAGTCTCCACCAGACTTCTTTTGCAGGCTGAATAAATAGTAGAAATCGGCCTAAAAACGGTATTAATTGGCCAGAGAAGGTAGTCGGCCAGAATGGAGCTTCTCTGGCCGGCTACCCTCTCTTTTAGGCCGATTTATACGATTTATTCACCCCGCAAAAGAAGTCAGGTGGAGACTATCGAAAACCCGTTCAGGCATAAAACTACTACGTCTAGATAGGCACGGTTCTGGATTAAAAATTAGCAACACCCCCGCCCCTCTAATTATTCTGATGAGACTTCTGAGAATTCAGACTCCGCTCAGCCTGACAACAAGAGCCGTAAGAGATGATGACTGTGATGTTTCAGAGCATTTTGGTGTTTTTTTTCTGAGGCGAGTCCTTCCCAGAACACGCCGTCATCATGACGTAACGGGGTCAAGGTTATGACGTCACACTTAAGGCTGGTCATTACGTCACACGTATGGCTCATCTCCAAGCAGATGTTTGTGGATCTTTTCGTTCGTTCCATAAGTATTGTTTGGGTGTGTCTGTCTGTGTCCGTGTGTCTATCTGCGTGCGTGCGCGTCTGTGTGTTTGTGTCTGTCTGTGCGTTTGTGTCTGTCTGTGTGTTTGTGTCTGTCTGTGTGTTTGTGTCTGTCTGTGTGTTTGTGTCTGTCTGTGTGTTTGTTTGTGTCTGTCTGTGTGCGATGTCTATGTTAGTGCACGAACAGTAGGTTACCGATGACGATAGAGGTTGTAGTTTAGGCGAAGGACGGCGACAGTATAGACACACCCAATTTTTTGGTAAATCCCGCTTTATTTTGTAACACCGGTGTTATCACCCCACATCTTCCCATGTCTTCGTGCAGCACAGTAGGAACAAAATCACAAGATAGCTTAGGCAACACCTGAAGTTCAGTACGCTGGCCGGGATCCGACTTCACAAACACAGGATATACCAAAAACAAAAACGGCGCCCCCACCGAAACGGCGATAAACTCCGTGTAATTGTAAGTCTGCTCGGAACGTCCGGGCATGTCTGCCTAAATAACAGCAACAGGCGTTAGGTAAGTCTGCTAATCTTTGCCTGAAGCGTCAGGTGCCAAAAGAAACCATCATCAGGATTAGATGACATTCATGACCATTGTTTCGTGTGTAGGTTTTCTGACAAATGTCTGTCATCCGTGACCGCTTGCCTGATTTTGCAATCCGGGGGATTTTCTCACCAGCTCTTCGCACCTGGCTTTTGAAACGCGTAAAAAAACGAAGGAAAACGCGTCTGAAAAACACTCCGGAACAAATACATCTGCTTGAAACTGCGGCCGCTGATTTTAAGACGTTTTTTCGTGTTGGTCGCCTGTATCCTTGATCCAACGTTCGCCCCACGTCGGATGCACTCTCCAAGCAGAGGTTAGGGTTTTTGGGTTATTTTTGGCAAACGTAAATCTGACAGCCCCGCGCCAGTCCCGACGTGTCAGTGGCTGAACTGCTACTTTTGTTGAACCAGCCGACTGGACAAAAATCTGTGTCGTTAACCTTCAGTAAACCCTGATGAAAACGCCTCCAGCACTTCGCACGCTCGGGTTGAAGTTGTGAATGCTTCTGTTGTTCACTTCTTAGTCTGAACTGCTGAAGTGAAGAGCGGCCTGTAGCTTGAATTGAACCAAACTTTACATGAATGAATGAATGAATGAATGAATGGATGAATGACATGCGTTTGTGACGTTATCTAGTCACGATACCCTCACTACTAATCTCCGGTCAAACACATATTGAGAGTTTCTGAGAAGTTTGATTAGGCTTATTTCAAGCAACAAAACAAAACAAAGCAATTTTAAGTATGTCTTAATGTATATAACATTATGGTATATAAATGAGTTCCAGGGAAAAGAAGCAAAGACTCCAGGCTGTCAAGTACTAGTATGTATATGGTATTTTCTGTATCTGTGTCATTCTGTACAGCCGGTATATATAACCGCCCTTCGGCGTAACACACCAGCCTATTTTGTTAGATAATCAGCTGTGAATAAAAGGCATACACACCCAGGTAACCTACCTATATATGTATATATAGGTCACTAATTACGGCTTGTGAATGCCCATATCGTGCGGACGGCGCGTTAACTCGGCAGTTTGGTGTCTGACGTACGGACAATGGAAACCCTCCGGGCACAGAGCAGATCAGGCGATATACTCACTCATCAGCGGCTCAGGACTAGCTAGCCTCTACCAGGCTTTGGGAGGCCAGGGGTGCCAGAGTATACAGTGCAATTTTACAAGTAAAATACTAGTACTAGTATACTACTAGTAATACGACTGCACTGTATTCCGTAAAATTGCACTGTATACAAGTACCGGATTGCACTGTATTCCGTAAAATTGCACTGTATACAAGTACCGGATTGCACTGTATTCCGTAAAATTGCACTGTATACTAATACGATTGCACTGTATATCCGTAAAATTGCACTGTATACAAATACGATTGCACTGTATATCCGTAAAATTGCACTGTATACAAATACGATTGCACTGTATATCCGTAAAATTGCACTGTATATTATGGCACCCCTGGAGGCGACTGGAAAGGCTAGAAATTGACCAAATAGAGAGATAACTTGCCGGGGGAGTTGGTCTGCTGGAGAGTACAGTTTGCCGCACCCGGGCTAGCCTGAGTGGATGGTGTTCAGCACCAAGGACAGGTGTGTTAGTGTGTGGATGGTGCTTGTATTTGGCGTTGCTGCAAAATACAAGCACCATCTCCCAAGTTACAATCGGACTGCATCTGATCGTGACAGGGTCTTAATTTAGCGCCGCCAAGTGGATGGTGAAGGTACTGCAGCTCTGGGAGTGTAGCAGTCCCACTGTAATTAGTGTAAAGGAGACAGAGGCCATTGGCTGCAGTACCGTAAACCACCACTAGTCGGCGCTTTATGAACAGTGTTAAACCGCTGCAGTGTCTACTTACTCTACTACATTTAAAAATTTTTTAAACCTAAGCAACGCTTTTTTTTACCATTTCTAGAACCAAAGCACCTTTCATTGAACATTACTAGAACTTTGTACCGTTTTAGGAGAAGACAAAAGAGGTTTGGAAAAGTATTTTCTGATTCAAAGTACATGTATGTCCATTTGTGCACCAAAGAAGCAACTAGCGAATAATGATAAAAAGCAGATTGAACAAAACCCCACCAATGTGGCCAAACACATTTCCTCTTTTTCTTTTTTAATTGCTGATATAACCCTTCAAAATGTACATATTTTGGAATATAAGCTCTTACTTGACAGTACATTAAAAAGGAAGCATGCATCTCAATTCTTTAACAGACCAGTATCTAGTATCTAAATGTGAAGTACTAGTTTACATAACAAGCCCCCCAAGCTCTTAAAACCAGATACATACTAAAAAAATGAGACCCCTTAGGTACCAATAACTTACATTTCTGTTGCCTGATGAAGTCACTGGTCAAACATAATGTCAACATCACACATTCTTATCAAATTTTTCCAATTTACTAAGGAAAAATTGTTTGGAGTAGAATGAAAATTGGCAGAGCGTCTAGTTAACAACTTTTTCCCACAAAGAAGCAGAAGCACATCACAATCATTTACCCATGTGTAAATTTGCAAAAACTACATCAACTCAGGGTAAAATGACAGAAAAAATATCGTCTTCATAACTTAAACATAACTTAAACGTTAACATCAGAATGGACTTTACACTTTTACTTGTAGAGCCTCTGAAGCCTTGTTACAACAGACACTGAAACATCATTCAAACCACCAATATTATGTCAGACGAGGTTTTATTCTAATACAAACCTGGACAGACAAGTTTCTTTGCTTCATACAAGGAATACAGTGGACCTAATTAAATTCAATTGCATTGCAGTCAATTGCACATCTGCTTGAATTGTTGAGACGATTTGTGACAAAAGTCTTTTTCTGATTGGTGGAGATGGTTTGACTGGTGAGTCTCTGATTGGTGGAGATATGTCGGCAGCTCAGGTAATGTTGGTCCCCTCTGATTGGTGGAGCGAGATGTTGTTGTCCTCTGATTGGTGGATAAGTTTCAGAAGGTTATGCAAGCCTTCTGATTGGTGGAGATATCAGTAGGTGTTTTCTGACAGATGTTCTCTGATTGGTGGAGATGTCATCAGGCGTTCCCTAATTGGTGGAGATGTGTCATCAGGTGTTCTCTGATTGGTGGATATGTCATGAGGTGATGTGGGTGACAGGGAAGACCGTGAGGCCGCGTTTGAAGGCAGGGATGTCAGAGATGTTGGTACCTGCTGCCTCCTCCTCCTCCACAGGCAGCATCTCCAGCTGCAGATCAGCTTCATCCATCTGTCAGGGAAACACAAACCTGGTTTATATATGCTTACAGAATCTGATGTACTGATGGAGACACAGTGGTGCAGATATTGTACACAGGCATGGTTCTGGATAGTCTCTATTGTATCCAGAACCGTGCCTATCTAGTTCTATGCCTGAATGGGTTAGGGTTAGGATCAGGCACGGTTCTGGATAGTCTCTATTGTATCCAGAACCGTGCCTATCTAGTTCTATGCCTGGATGGGTTAGGGTTAGGATCAGGCATGGTTCTGGATAGTCTCTATTGTACCCAGAACTGTGCCTATCTAGTTCTATGCCTGAATGGGTTAGGGTTAGGATCAGGCAAGGTTCTGGATAGTCTCTATTGTATCCAGAACTGTGCCTGTCTAGTTCTATGTCTGAATGAGTTAGGGTTAGGATCAGGCATGGTTCTGGATAGTCTCTACGTATCCAAGAACATAGATTTGCCCCAGGCATGGTTCTGAACTGTGCCTATCTAGAAGATTTGTCCCCAGGCCCAGAGTATTTGCAAGATAGAATCTATTCAGTGTGTCATGCTCAAATCTGGACATCTACTATTAATAGCATAATGTCTTTCTGAGATGCAGAGAAAAACAAACCCCGTTAGCCTCCTGACAATCTTCCTCCATCTCTTCTTCCTCCTCATCCTCACTATCATCATCTTCCTCATCATCTTCTTCATCTTCGCCTTCATCTCCTGAGTCACAGTCATCGTCAGCCTCCATGTCCTCTGTCTGACCTTGCCTGACCTTGGTCAAGCTCTCACTGCCCCCCTCCCCCACAACCTGTGCAGAGAGCAGTGACGTCATCAAACATCAAACAGAACAAGGTTTGCTGTTCTTCTGCTCTGTTCTGTACGATATACTATGTTTACGTTCCTGCATTCTGTTACATTTTAAGTTCAGGAAGCAACAACATTAACATGTCTACACAAGAAAATTCTATCAACTGTCCTAAAACTGCAAAATACATTTTAGTAAAGCTGAGGCTTCCAAGGAGGCATAACTATTCATTCTAATCCAGTGACTTTCTCTCTATAAAAAGGTGTCTTCAGAGTTGATTACAGCTTAAGATTACAAAGAGGCCCAAGCAATGTTCTTCACCCAGAATACAGAACGCGGGCTGACCTGTATGCTGAGTTTGTGTCTGTCTGTGAAGGCGTGTTCTCTGTACCAGGCCTGCAGCTCACTAAGGCTGAACTCATGTAACGCAGCAATCTGCAGAGAGAAGAAAAAACACATCAAGAGTTACGTTTCATCCTTTTTACCTGTAATCTGGGGAGAGATATACAATAAACCAGGCAGTCATCAAAACTAGTGTTTGACTGATAAAAAGCAAAGCAAAAGATATTTGCAAAGCAAATGCACAATGTTTACCTTCACATGGTCTACCCTAACAAACTACTGCTAACGTTATGTGTATTCTTCCTCAAACACATTCATATAATGTAGAGAAGTGACTTGAGTACAAGTCTGTCCTGCCACTTGCTACATAATGTAATCCAACACCACAGGGTGTCTGCTACAGCACCAGTTACCATGGTGACAGCTGTCTGGTGCAGGCCATTGACCTTATTTCTTTGGAGAAGGAGAAGCAAAATTATTCCTGTACAAAGTGTTTTTTAAAGTCACCTCTCTCTCCAGCCGGTCGAACAGGTACGTCTGTGTGTGAGTTAGTTAGTTAGTGTGTGTGTGTGTGTTAGTTAGTAAGTTAGTGCGTGCCCACCTCCCTCTCTAGCCTGTCGAACAGGTACGTCTGATCCACGATCTTCTCCCAGTTCCTGTCGACCTCCTCCCCGAGGTGAAGGTCAGCGCACAGCTTCAAGGTCACCAGGGCGGTCACCTGAGGTCACGATGGATATGGAGTTTATGATGACTGCCCCCAAAGGCTGATTCTAAATCCTACCATACTAGCTTCTGCTGCAACTATTACAAACGTATTCCCTGAAAACAGGAGCAGGTTGGAAATCACACGACCATTTTAGTTCAACATATAAAAGGAGACTAAAAGACTCGTTAAAGGTTTCCTTAAAGTCTAATTAAGGGACACTTCAGACTAACCTGTGCTGAAAAGTTCTCTTCTGTCATGTTCTTCAAGATCTTGTCAAACTCCTCAAGAAATTTCTCCATCTTGGCATCGGCCTCTGTGACACTGCGGAAAATTAAACAGAGTGAGTCTGGCGCCTCTGCACTGTTTATTAAAGTGAGTGCATTCGTAGTTAATTGCACCTTTACCTGAAGTTAGTAGCCTGGGTTTGTACAGTAAAGCTTACCTGAGGTTAGTAGCCTGGGTTTGTACAGTACAGCCTTACCTGAAGTTAGTAGCCTGGGTTTGTACAGTAAAGCCTTACCTGAAGTTAGTAGCCTGGGTTTGTACAGTAAAGCCTTACCTGAAGTTAGTAGCCTGGGTTTGTACAGTGACAGAGAAGCCCAGAATTCCGGCCGTGTCGCGGCACGTGGGGAAAACTGCATAGCCGAGCTGCTCCTGGGTCCTCAGGTAGTCAAAACACGGCTCCTCCATTAGCATCTAGGGGACAAGTTGCGACAAATGTTAGATGGTAGCAAAAATCTACTTAGCACAACAAATCAAGTGAGGGAGAAAAAGTTTTTCTTGTATCTTGTATATTAAGTTAAGTTTGCACTGGCAGCAGCCTTTCTTTTATTCATAGCCATTAAAACTGTGTTTATATCATGATGAGTCACTAGCAGTGTCTATACTTACATGCAGTCAACAAATATAACTACCCTTCAGTGTAACACACCAGCTTTGCCTCTTATGATGTGAGTGAATGAGTGAGTGAGTGAGTGAGTGAATGAGAGAGTGAATGAGTGAGAGAGTGAATGAGTGACCACTCACCACCATCAGCTCCATAAGTACCAGTCTGTGGATGTGAGTGAGTGAGTGAATGTCAGTGAATGAATGAATGAGTGAGTGAGAGAGTGCATGAATGAGTGTGTGAATGAGTGAGTGAGTAAATAAGTGTCTGTGTGTGTGAGTGAGTGTGTGTGTGTGTGTGTGAGTGAATGAGTGAGTGAATGAGTGAGAGAGTGAATGAGTGACCACTCACCACCATCAGCTCCATAAGCACCAGTCTGTGGATGTCTCCTGGCCGAGACTGTGGCAACAATAAAATACATCATCATTAATCTCATAGCTGATGATACAAACATCAGATTCTGCTGCAAAAGGAAAAAATGTCACTCAGATGAGCTGACAAGACTAGTCCAGACCACTTCTCCAGAAGTACATGTAAGTGAACTGGAGAACTCACTAGTAGTCAGGAAGTCTGTCAGACAGTGAAGCATGGTAAGGCCCTTTCTCCACCAGGGTATTTTTATTGCATCATTTTGTATCAAATGGTGTTCTGGAAGAAGAGAGTGCACTGAGCTACAGCAAAATGACAACAGGAAAAGACAGGCGTAAAAATTGGGGGAGAGTTCTACAGACTGTTCATATGTTGACCCGTGAACCAGGAAGTATGATGTCACCAAGCCTGTCAACCAAGCCGGTTTGATCCAGTGAGCATCCCAACACAGAAGACTTACCGGCTGGATTCGGCTCAATCAGGATTCAATCCACCTCGTGAGGCCGATAATTAGAGAGCCGGATCAAGCCGAATTGAACAGGATCAGGAGCTTCCCACTCTGGGGAATTTGTCTGGATCGATTCAGTTAGCTCTATCTACTCGGCTTGATCCGGATTATTTTACAGTTAGAATATTGGGGCGTAAGTCTTACCTGGTAGTAGTTAGTGATGACAGAGTTTGGTAATAGTCATTGCTAGTTACCTGGTAGTAGTTAGTGATAGTTAGCTAGTTAGGTAATAGTTATTGCTAGTAACCTGGTAGTAGTTAGTGATAGTTAGCTAGTTATGTAATAGTTACTGCTAGTTACCTGGTAGTGGTTAGTGATAGTTCGCTAGTTAGGTAATAGTTACTGCTAGTTACCTGATAGCAGTTATTGATAGTTAGCTAGTTAGGTAATAGTTACTGCTAGTTACCTGGTAGTAGTTAGTGATGACAGAGTTTGCGTCGCTCCTGTGGAAGGATTTGAAGCGACAAACGTGATCCCCGCTGGGAATCTGCATCACCCTCAGGCCTGGTAACAGGTTCTGTGGGACTGGACTGCAGCACAGCTTTCTAGGAAACAAACAAATAAACATTCAAACAAATACTTAAATCAGGACTGGTGATAATATCATGATGATATCATTCATCATAAACGTGTACAGTACTAACATCCCCCGCCATCTTTTGGCATAATCATCTGTCTGTAATGTTACCTAGCTCTATGTCCAGAAGTAGTCATTTGGCCTTGCATTGAGCAACACCATAAAAAAACAAGACTTAATTAGTACTCACCGCACAAGATATTCCTCAAACTGCAGAGCCTCCTACAGAAAAAAGAAAGAAAATTCTGCCAGAATTGTAACAGTGGACTGGGTTTATAGGCGCTACCAACTGACCCGGCCAAGGGGTCTAGACCTTTTAGCTAAATCTGAATCAACAGATATGAAGATATAAGATCCATAAAAATTGCAAAAAACACACCAAACCACACAAAATACACTCTCACGTAACTACACAAATATTTACTATGTTTGACCCCCTGGGTGCAATGAAAACCGCCCTCCAGGGGGATATGTTCTCTGATCAAATAAACAAACAAACAAACAAACAAACACTAACCTGCCGTGTGTAGTTGCCCTGCACCAGTCCCTCCACATACAGCCTCCTCCTGAACTGCCCCACAAACTGCAGTATATCGTCCCTCACCAGGGGGCGCATGGCCTGCCGTTTGTCCAGCGTCGTCCACTTGACTTTCTCCAGGATCGACAAACGCACGTCTCTGCAGGAACACGGAAATTTAAAGTTACTATTAAAACCAGGGCAGGGAGACATACACAGGTACATTAACAGATTTCTTGTCCTTTCTCTCTACTCTACGTCTATCTTTTGCATACTCCAAAATTGGTCATGTTTGATTGAAATAAATATGCAGAACACTCACTGACAATTGCGTGTATGTTGTAAGCCTTATAAACTGGGTGGATAAGACACAAACATAAACCATGCCATCCCTCTTTCATTTCCTATCTTACTCTCAGCACTATGTCTCATTTCACACCATATTCACACTTAAAGGAGAAAGTCTTCTATTCGATTTGAAAACAAATCATGACACAATTCAGATCTGTCTAGATTGTTACATTGTCTAAGTTGAGGGAAAACCACCCAGACTCCCACCTGACCAGCTGCATGGGTTTGATGACGTGGTTGTAGTAAGAACGTCTCAGTTGGGTTTTCACAGCGTCAAACATTTCCTCAGTCACACTGAAGTCTGCCATGTAGTCTACTATTGTCTCAAACAGTAACTGTAAGGGGATAGATCACACATAAGGCATCTCAGCTGGATCTTGAGAAGCTACGTCAGACATAAGAACATCTCAGTTGGGTTTTCACTGCATCAAACATTTCCTAAGTCACACTGAAGTCTGCCATGTGGTCTACTATTGTCTCAAACAACAGCTAAGGAAACAGGTAAGGAGCTAGATCACACACAAGACATCTCAGCTGGAATTTGAGAAGTTAAATCAGACATAAGAACGTCTGAGCTGAGTTTTCACAGCGTCAAACATTTCCTCAGTCACTCTGAAGTCTGACATGTAGTCTACTATTGTCTCAAACAGTAACTGTAAGGAGATAGATCAGACGTGAGGCATCTCAGCTCGGTATTGAGAAGTTAAATCAAACATAGTAAGAACATCTCAACTGGATCTTGAGGAGTTAGATCAGACATAAGGCATCTCAGCTAGATCTTGAGAAGGTAGATCAGACATAGGAACGTCTCAGCTGAGTTTTCACAGCGTCGAACATTTCCTCAGTCACACCGAAGTCTGCCATGTAGTCTACTATTGTCTCAAACAGTAACTGTAAGGAGTTAGATCAGACATAAGACATCTCAGCTGGATCTTGAGGAGTTAGGTCAGACATAAGACATCTCACAACATTTTTCAGACACACTGAAGTCAGATTTGTAGTCAACTATTGTCAGATATGTCGTCAAATAACAGCTAAGGGGGAGGGGGGCAATATGTCAGTTTCAAGGTCACTCGTGTACTGGTATATCTAAACTTGACTTTGATTCTCTACAATTGAACCTTAAATATTTTTGACATGCTTAATGCAAAACTGTTAGGAGAAATCATCTGAAAACATCTGTCAGCTATCAAAAGAAAGGTTCATTCTTATCAAACAATACCAATGGAAAGACTCAAGCTTTTATAACTACCATACAGACATGAATAAGACCAGTAGTGAAACCTGTACTTACCGGCAGTTTCTCGCTAAAGCCACTAACTTTGATGACCATCCCGGAGTCTTCAGCAACAAACTTGTACCTGGGATCATAACATAACAGAGTCTGGTTAATATACAACAGCACAATTCTGTACAATACAACAGCATTAAAGAAGGTATTGGTGTGAATGTCATTCAGCACCAAGGACAGGGTAGTGCAAAAGTAGTGTAAGTGGTCAATGTAACCATAGCACAGAGAAAGTACACCAAACTTGCATCAGTTGTGCTCCATTTACATGGGAATGTCATTCAGCACCAAGGACAGGGTAGTGCCCAAGTAGTGTATAATGTTTGAGTGTGAATGTGACCATTGTGCCATGTACATGTGCACCAGACTTACACCAGTTTATCACATCAGCTTCATACAGGACAGAAGTCTTTGTGTGGCACTGTGTGGATGGCATTCAGCACCAGGGACAGGATAGTACATAAGAAGTGTGAGTGTGAATGTACTACAGTAACCACTATGCAGTGTAAAAGTGCCCCAAACTTACACGAGTTGTGCCACATCTGCATCAAATGCCACAGCTGTCAGTTTTGTGGACAGGTGTGTGTGTGTTTGTTTGACAATGTATTATGTGAATGTTATTCAGCACCAGGGACAGGGTAGTGCATAAGAAGTATAATTGTGAATGTAATCATAGTACAGTGCAAAAGTGCCACAAACTTACACCAGTTGTGCCACATCAGCATCATAAGCCACGGCTGTGAGATTTTGAGCCAGAATGTTCAGGAACAGGTCCAGTAACACAACACTGCAGCAGGAAAGAAACAATAATCTATATGTGCATGAACAGTTTCATCAGTTTGGTAAGACACTGAGTAAAGAGACTCTTTTTTACACATCAAACTCTTTTATTCAGCAACACCTGTGCTGTGGTGCAATGTTAACCAGTCAGAATTGACCCGAGGAAGGTGACAGACGGTCACCGAAACGTCAGCTGAATAAAAGACTTGGTTTTGTGTAAAAAAGAGTCTCTTTACTCAACAACATATGTGGTTAGAAATCATTGGCAAAACATGACATGAGGCTTGAAAAGGGTTTTGGAACATGTATCAACCAATAACAGCCACTGGATAAGTGTAAGACCTAAGTGTAAACATTTTCTGCATTTAACATTTTGAACATGATGGAATATTTCCAACAATCTGACTTGAATGTGTAACTCTAGCTGTAGAACCTCAATAAAGAATTACATATATACATGTACCAACAACGAATATTACTGAAGTCAAGATCATCTGACAGTACAAGTAAAACCAGTCCCACCTCTGTGGTGTTCTGCCTATCAGTGGGGACTTGAGGTAGAAATGTACGTAAGCTGGGGAAGGAACAATAAAAAAACATCAGTAAATAAAGCTGTTTGTGGGGTCGTGTGGCGTAGCGGCAGAGTGCGCGACTCGGAACCAGGAGGTCCCTGGTTCGAGTCCTGACATGCCACTGATCTTGTGCCCTTGGGAAAGGCACTTCAAATGACTTTCCCCACTTAACTCAAGTGAAATCAAATGAAATTAAAATATCTTTCCATAAAAAAGCAGAACCATTTGACATCCTTATTGTATTATTTCCATTTTCTATTGTATAATTTCCATTTATTGATTATATTTAATTTTGTATAGTTTAGAAGAGGAGGGCCGTGTATAAGCATTCCATGCTTCTCCCCTCCTCCTGCACCTGTTTTATCCTTGTTTTGTATTATTATTGTCTCTTTTGTTAATGTGCAAACAATAAAATCAATCAAAAAATCAAATCATTGCTAAGTACAAAAAAAAATGAGTCAGTCAATTGACCAATAAGAATTGACATTACAGTGATGAATAATAACATTTTGAGGCAGGAAATTCCAAGATTTTGAGACGTACCTTTGGGTTGGTGGAACTTGGTGTCCGGCCTGTACCATAATCTGCTCCAAGGGGTGTCCAGGATCTTCACTGGGTACTGCAGTCAAATATTAAAAAAATCACTGTCTGGGAACCTGCCATTTTTACACAATTTCACATATTTTTATGTCTTTGTTATTTTCTAATTTTAAAAGTCTTGAAAGAATACCAAGTTTAGAGGTGTTTCTTGAAAGGCAGAAGAATATTGAAGACATACCTTCGAGTCTTTAAGATCGTGTTCCTTAAGGGAGAAGTCTTTGGCTGTAGGTGGCACAATATGTCAATGATTAAGTACTCTTGAATGTGCTACACTTAGTATTAGGCATCATTCTAACAGATTCTCAGAAATTTGATTGTTACACTATAGATCTACTGTTAGTATGGCCATGTGCAGTGGCTTATTTGGCTTTCTATCTGTTTTGAAGGTGTTACAATTACTAATCTATCAATTACCATGGCAACATATGTTGCAGTTTTAATTGTAACACCTGCTGTTGTATTGTGAAGGTTACCTACCACTACATGTTAGTTATCTTTCAGCATCAGCAAGTGTCTAGTTACAAATTTGAAGTACAACTTGTGAAATCTGCAGCACAGATAAACTTGAGCAAATTGAGTCCAGTTTTCTGACCTATGAACCTGTTCTCTGCAGGCAGATGGAGTTCTGGATTTTCCAGCAGATCTGAAACAGGAAACTCAGTCAGGTTCACTGAAGGACAAACTCTAAGTTATGTAGTAACATGTCCAGTAAGGTATGTAGTTACTTAATTTGCAAAATGTAATGACTGATACGTAATTAAGTCTGAATATCTAACCTTTCCACGCCTCTTTCCAGTCACTTGGAATATCTGCAATTTAAGTGAAAATAGTATTGAGATGGGACTTTTGACAGTATTGCTTGATGATAGCAACAGACCATTAATAAGTAGTCTGTGTTATCTCCATATCGGTCCTATGGAATTTTCTTCACTTTGAATAGAATGGTCTCAAACCGGAGTTCTTACCTGAGACACAGTAGGGGGTCTCAAACCGGAGTTCTTACCTGAGACACAGTAGGGGGTCTCAAACTGGAGTTCTTACCTGAGGCACAGTAGGGGGTCTCAAACCAGGGTTCTTACCTGAGGCACAGTAGGGGGTCTCAAACCAGGGTTCTTACCTGAGGCACAGTAGGGGGTCTCAAACCAGGGTTCTTACCTGAGGCACAGTAGGGGGTCTCAAACCAGGGTTCTTACCTGAGGCACAGTAGGGGGTCTCAAACTGGGGTTCTTACCTGAGACACAGTAGGGGGTCTCAAACCAGGGTTCTTACCTGAGACACAGTAGGGGGTCTCAAACCAGAGTTCCCTGAGCTGGCAGTCGGCTGTGAACTGTGGGGACACCAGAAGGAGGCTAGCCCGGTCAGGGGTCAACAGGTTCTGCGCTTCTGCAAGGACCTGTATGAGAGGTACGGAATAAAAAATCTAAGAAAGTTCAAGAAAACAGTTACTCAAGCAACTGGATAGATTTTGAAATCCATTTAATACTTTGCTTGAAATCAAAGTCTATCCAGTTGCTCGTGAATGAGTAACTGTTTTCTTGTGTACCCTATGATCAATACCTGGATGTCTAACATTCATCAATGTTTAAGAAAGATTCTGAATCTCACATGACAGTTGTACACAAACAGATAACAGCACAAATCAAGTAACAATCAAGAAATTTCTGTTCAGGTGGTTGTTTGCTAACCAGTTCATCCTTCTGAAACAATTGGTCAAACCACTAATTGCCACATTGTCATTGGTGGAACTGCTAATTGCGATGGCCTGGAGTCAAAGGAAGAAAAGAAAGAAGTAGAAAAATCCCTGGTCTAAAAATCGCATGTCTCGATCCAGAGAGGAGGTTTTTAGGATGATAGAGTGGGACTATACAGGTGTGCAGGTGTGCCTTACCTGTTCATCATACTGGAACATGAGTATGTCCCCGGTGAGGTAGTGTTGGTGTGTTGTACAGGTGTGCTGTACAGGTGTGTACCTTACAGGTGTGCTGTACAGGTGTGCCTTACCTGTTCATCATACTGGAACATGAGTATGTCCCCGGTGAGGTAGTGTTGGGGAGGGTAAAGCTGCATGTTCTCACACACATTCTCCACATAGTCTATAGGATCTGTCTGCAGAGGGGAAACACATAGTACATGTACAAGCAGCTGGATACATGATGAGGTGGTCAATGGCTTGGTGAGCATCATCAACACTGTAACTATGAAGCAGACAGATAGTTCAACCTGCCACAAGGTAGTAGAGTTTCTCCTGCCATGAATAGTTTCATCAGGTTTTTCACATCAAGAACCATGCCTAATAAAGTATCTACATAATGTACGTAGTTCTATGCCTGACTATCCCAAACTATCTGAGCATGGTACTGGATAGAGCACAGTTCTGGGTACAACAGTGTGTGCCAGTTTGTAAACTATGGTTTAATGACAAGCTACATGTGTAGTTAACTGCTGGGTAACATTTTATTACTCTAAAAAAGCTTGAGAATGTTAATATCTGACCTCATCCTTGAACCTGAAGTCCTTATCCTCGATAGTCTGTATTTCCTGATACACCCTCCGACAGGGCCCCAGCCTCTGTAACATTTGGATGTACTGGAACACTACGGTGATCACCTGAAACAACAAACATGTTTATTTGTTTGTTTGTTTGTTTGTTTGTTTATTTCCTGATAGACCCTGAAACAGGGCCCCAGTCTCTGTAACATTTGGATGTACTGGAACACTATGGTGATCACCTGAAACACAACATGTTTATTTGTTTGTTTGTTTGTTTGTTTGTTTATTTCCTGATAAATCCTGAGGCAGGGTTCGAGTCTCTGTAACATTTGGATGTACTGGAACACTACGGTGATCACCTGTAACAACAAACATGTTTAGTTATGAAATAAAGTTTCATGAAACATGTTTAGTGTTATATCATTCTCTAAATCCCCTGCTAGCACTCTCAAACAGATCATGTTGGCCAAATGTGCTTTTTTGGCAGAATGTCTACTTTCTTTCTATTGGTTGTATTCGCATATTTACGTCTACATGTAAGTGTTATATCAGGGAACCATATCCAAACAATGGACAAATCTGATGCAATGTTGACCAAACCTGCCAAAAAAAACATTATGTATGAAAAATCTTGGCTTCACACAGGCGCAGTGCGTAATCTGCTGACATATTACCACACCCCAGACTTCAGCCCAACCCCAGACTCACCTCCTTGAGCCCCTCGTTACAACTCCTATACAACTCATGTACAACTCATGTACAACAGCCCACAAGCTGGAACACAGGACAGCCATGTTACAACACCCCAGACTTCAACCCAACCCCAACTTCAACTCACCTCCTTCACGTTTCTGAGTCCCTCGTCAGTGAGAACCACGATGACGTTAAAGACAGCGTTTGTCGTGTTGTGTTCGAAACCAAGCTCGTTGTTTCCTGCGTACAGACCCAGCGCCCACATGCTGGAACACAAGACAAGGTTACAACTCATGTACAACTACTGTACAACTCTGGTACAACTCCTGTACAACTCATGTACAACTCCTGTACAACTACTGTACAACTACTGTACAACTCCTATACAACTCCTGTACAACTCCTGTACAACTACTGTACAACTACTCCCGCATACAGGCCCAGCACCCACATACTGAAACACAAGACAAGGTTACAACTCCTGTACAACTCCTATACAACTCCTGTACAACTCCTATACAACTCCTGTACAACTCATGTACAACTCAAGTACAAAAGTCCATATGCTACAACACATACGGACAGGAATGTTACACATATCCACAACACCGCTACAACTCCACTACAACAGGCCACATGCTATATTAAGAGCACACAGAGGCCCAGCATGTTGCATTTATCTATCACAAGTTTTCCAATCAAAGCAAGTAACCAGTTAAGTATGTCAGAGCCAGTTATATCATGAGTATTGTCTGAATCTTAAAGTTACTGCAGGCTTCCTTACTTTTTCTTGAGGAGGTTGAAGACACTTCCCTTGCCCTCATGCCCCAGCAGCCAGCCCAGGTAGTGCAGCGGCTTCACTCTGGGGGAACAGGTACAGTTTTACTGTTCCAGAAGTCTGCACAACTAGGCTCAGTCATACTCAGTCATGTAGTTCACAGTACTCCACACATATCCAGAACTGTGCCTGAGCCTTAGCCCTTACACATTCAGGAATAGAGCTAGATACCTTCCTCATAAATGGTTCTGAATAGTCCATGTGTATCCATGTCTGGGGCAAGTCTACAAATTTCTTGGGTTCATGGAGACTATCCAGAACTGTGCCTGATTCTGATCCTAACCCATTCAAGCATAGAACTAGATAGGCACGGTTCTATCTGGATACATTAGGTGCATGTATGACACTATACATATAAAACCAACTTCATGAGTTACAAATTGAATACAGATGGCAAATCCCTGACCACAAATGATCTAAAACGAACAGAGTTCAAGCTTCAACATTTGGGTACATGATGCTCTGATCTATGCACAACTTAAAGGAAATCCCTCCTCACCTGTAGTGTTTCATCTGACATGGCAGAGACCAGGTGATCTCCAGCTGATTCACAGACTTCACTGGAACCACTGTAAGGGGTAGGGTAAAGCATGATACAAAATTATTATAAAATCTGTTTTATAAGTTTAGCATAGTTTAGCTGCTAAGTTACATGTAAGTCTGATACTAAGTGGTAGATTCTATGCCCAGCATTTAATAAAAGACGGAATACAACATGATTGTCATTTTAGTGCATCATTTTGTAAAGTAACAGAGGGAATCAAACCAAGTTAATGTTACTTACTTTTGTAGAGCTTGTAGAAGTTGGGTGTGTCAAAGGTGTCCTGCAATATTAGACAGTTCAGTAGGTATGACAATTGTTTGTGAGTCTTACGAGTCGATACTAGTAGTACATGACATGTTTCTTCAAAATCAACTGAGAAACACTGGATTTTCAACCTCATTTTACAACTTATGTACAGGATACCACTTATAATTATAGTTCTTTATTGCGAGTTCGTGCCCGAGGGCTAATTGCAAACAGACATTGACATAAAAAATGAATATAGAATGTGGTGAATTTATAAAAGCATTAGCATAACTTATAAAAGCATTTACCTTGTAGTCATCAAAGTTTGGAGCAGGGCAACCACTGGAGAAAAGGAAAACAACAAAGTATCAAACACCGATCATGGAGAACAGTTGGATGGAATTTAGGTACACAATGCTATACAAGGAAACCGCATTATACAGACTGCATTTATAGTTGGTCATTGGAATTTCTGAAGCACAAGAAGGACCTCTAGCATACTTGTTTGGTACTGCAGAGAAGACCTCGCTGACCCACTCCTCCAGGGTGTCCAGGGTTTCTGGGGTAAAAAAAAAAAGTTTACACAAACCTAAAAACACATGAAATCCAGAACTGTACCTAACCCTAACCCATTGTGTCAGCTGATGTTATCAAATCAATCAGGCCAGATTTTTCATGTTTTCTTTTCAGGTCTGTTAAATGTTGCATGAGAACTTTGCCTGTTTCAGACGAGATTTTTGTACACAACAATTATGTACGGGATGTCATCCTTAAATACACAGTCAAATATGACCTCGAAAGAGACATGCTCAGGCACGGTTCTGGATAATCCACGCAAATCCAGAACCGTGCCTGGGGGTTAATCTAATAGTATGTTCTTGCATCCACGGAGACTATCCAGAACTGTGCCTGATCCTAACCCTAACCCATTCAGGCATAGAACTAGATAGGCACGGTTCTGGGTACGATAGAGACTATCCAGAACTGTACCTGATCCTAACCCTAACCCAGTCAGGCATAGAACTAGATAGGCACAGTTCTGGATACAATAGAGACTATCCAGAACTGTGCCTGATCCTAACCCTAACCCATTCAGGCATAGAACTAGATAGACACAGTTCTGGATACACAGCAACTATCCAGAACCGTGCCTGATCCTACATGTACCCTTAACCCATTCAGGAATTGGAACTGTTATAGACAAGGTTCTGGGTACAACAGTTCCCACCTGCCGACTGCACAGCCAGAGTCATGTACTGTGCGGAGTAGAACGTCCGTCGGAACTCTCCAAGTCGCTGGTGAACGTTGATTCCCTGCTCCGATGGCTTCTGCTGAAGCGACGCCAGGTTCCCTGGTACGTTCAGGCAAAAACAGAGCAGAGTATAGCAGAGGTAAGAGTCGCGTTAAAGGCCAAATCAATGTGCAGATGTAACCTGTACAAATCATTCTCCAAGTGAGAACACATAAAGGCTTAGTATGTGCTTCTAGAAACGCTCCAAACGCTAGTCACCCTAGAGAGTCAAACATCATGCAAATAACTAGAACCCAGCAAATAGCGACCACATCTATTGAATTTCTGGTAATAGATAAAACAAGGACAACAACAGCCTATGACAGGAAACTTACTATTCCTAATAAAAAGATTTATATAATTTATATAAACCCAACATGCATGTATGCTGTAGAATATATTGTACTTGACCCATACTGACTTGCATGAACCCCACATGTACAAAATGTACTTGACCTGTACTGACCCCACATGAACTTGGCCATGGGATGTCCGACCTTGGCCATGGTGGAGAAGAGCTGCTGTTTCCTGTAGCTGTCGACTGGCAGGTTCATCTGGAACTCTGGGGACAACATCAAAGCCATGATTACAATTTGATTTGATTTATTAAATTGCAACAATACAATACAAGCAGAACAGAGGCAGATGTTGCTGGTGTTGTGTCCCGCACATAGAAACAAATACAGGACAGACAATACTCATTTTCACTTGAGTCTAGATTACAATTATTACAGTACGTAACTTTCATAATGTTAGATCTTTAGTTGTAGGAGACCATACAAAATCCCAGGCCTATACTTTTTGTTGAGTCTAAAAGGAATCTTTCATGAAAGTTCATCTGTGTTGGTAGTTACATGTTTAAAGTTAAAACTTTTGGTCCAACACAAAAAATTCTCTCACCTACAGCTTTCGACCGGTCACTCTGCTGGTCTTCCTCTGTAGACTGACCCAGTGAGAGAATTTTTGTGTTGGACCAAAAGTTTTAACTTTAAACATTATAAAGAATCTTATTAACCAACAATTCCGTATAGGTCAACCCTACTGTCAAGTTTCACCTTCAGAGACCATCATAGAAACTAAAACTGTAATCTCTAGTGCTTCTCTTTGCGCATGTAGGAGAGGATGCAATGTAGACATTCACTGTAAAACAATCCAAATGTATTTGAGTGTGCAAGCCAGTTTGTAAATGTAAACAGACTGAGGCATTTTTTAAGCTTCAGCACTAAGCTAGATAAGTTAGTATGATTGATAACAAACAAACAAACAAACAAACAAACAAACAAAGTGCATCTCACCGCTATCCACAGCCTTGACTTCCCTCTCCAGACTGTCGGCTTTCAGCAGAGGGGAGATGAAAAACTGAGCCCATCTGGAGAAACACATCAAAGGGTGGACAGTTTTTAAGTGAAACAGACATCTAACATCTGTGTCCATAATATCACCTGGGTCCATAATATGGCCACCTTGAGAAATAGTGTGCTTTAAGATAATTTTTAGTGACTGAAACATACTTTTGGTATGCACTCCTTCACACATCAAATGTACATACCTATACCTAGGGTATGTTGCAGTAAAAAATATCTTAAAGCACACTTTTTCTCAAGGTGGTGATATTATGGACCCTGGTGATATTATGGACACAGATGTTAGATGTAGATTTGTCTATTGTTGAAACTATGGTGAAACATTCCCAACTAAAACCAGAAATTCTCCATACAGTATTATGCAATTTGCATACACCTCATATATAACATCATAGATACAAAATATGTCTATTGGTTTGTTACAGTTTGACTTTGAACTGAATTGAAAAAAACAAAATTAATGTACAACCAGGTTTGAGAAAAGCATTCGACAAGATGCAAATTATAAAACACTTCAAAAGTGTGGAACTATATGAGAAATGGACAATAATATTCCACAAAATACAGTCTTTGCTATATATCAGTGCCCGATACCAACATGGTCCATCAATATCTTCCACAGTCTCTCTCCTCTTTACTCTCATTATTCTGATACCCTTTCGTCTCATCTTCTACATTCTCTTGTCTGTTGCTTCTTAAGAACCAGGTAAGAACACCTTTACTCACCTGTCCAGAGCCTCCCTGAAGAATTTCCTCTGAATCTCAAACTGGAAAACTGTCTGTGAATAGAAATGATGGTTTACAATGTTGTGGCACATGTACAATAATTTATTGAATGTTAACTTTATATGGGGTTTCTAGTGTTAATTACAGTCTTGCCTTGTTCTAGACAAAGCATGACTTTTTAATTTGTCTTTACTCAATTGCATATCAATCAATCATCTGATCATCAATCAATAGTTTGTGCTTGCAAACCTGCTTTTCTGACAGTGTCACTGACGAAAGGTAGTGGATGCTACCTGAAACGTCTGACCGTTTCCAAAGTTATATCCAGTTGCTTGAGTAACTGTTCTTGGCTTGACACTCTACAGTAACTGTTCGACTAGGGTCTTATACTACAGGACTGTCTCACTTCACAGTTCATCTAGGGTCTCCCACTACAGTTTGACATTGTAACCCGATACTCACCCTCTCGCAGTCGGTGGAGGCGTTGTCGCTGCCGCCGTGTTTCTTGATGAAGACGTCGAACGCGTTCTCATCCGGGTACTTCTCGCTGCCCATAAACACCACTGAAAAACACAGGTGGGAGACCTTAATGTTATACACTGAGTGGAAAACACAGGTGAGAGATCTTAAATGCTGCTGACTGAAAACACAGGTGGGAGATCTTAATATTATACCACTGACTGCAAAACACAGGTGGGAGATCTTAATATTATTCCACTGAATGGAAAACACAGGTGGGAGATCTTAATATATCACTGGAAACACAGGTGGGAGATCTTAATATATCACTGCAAAACACAGGTGGGAGACCTTAGTATTATACACTGAGTGGAAAACACAGGTGGGAGATCTTAATATATCTAATATCACTGCAGAACACAGGTGGGAGATCTTAATATATCTAATATCACTGCAGAACACAGGTGGGAGATTTTATTGCTGCAAAACACATGGGAGATCTTAAACACATCGCTGGAAAACACAGGAGGGAGACCTTTATTAAAAATCTAGAAAATGTCAGGTCTTTTGTAAACTTGAAGCAGATGTGAGGAGCCTGCTCATTCTGTGTTATATGCCTGTTTTTTCTACATTTGTTTCTCTTTTCTAGTGTTTAATAAATGATCATTAGTGTAATTTTAACAGTTTGGCAAGAGGAGGCAAACAGATAAAAAAAAGTACCAATGTTGCAAAAATAGGCTTAAAACACTGAGAATGACCTGGATCCTTACATCTGCTTGGAGATTAAGACTTTTGCTCAAACCTACAGTAACTGTTGTTGTTAAAGCACACAAATGGGAGAAAACACTCAGCACACGTGTGACTATGTACATAATGGCTGGGAAAGTAGCCAAGTTAAGTTAAACATTAATCTTAAAGTTAAAACTTAAAATATGTCCCAGCATTCTCTCACAGATACTTGCTCATTGGACGGTGGGTCCAGATTCCACCCAACACTAGCAGGAAAAGGTACAACTTAGTTTTTACAATCCTAAAAACTTATACATTAGCAATATCTTAGTGTACTTTTAAGATTGATATCATTAACCATGTGTGCTAGCTTCTGATCTACAATACATTGCTCAATATTGACCAAAAAATGACCGAATATTGTGTTTGAGATCAAAGTTCTGTTTGGTACTTTGGCCAGTTATACCAGGGTAATGTGCTCAGTTTGGTGTACAACTAAGTGTAAATGCCCTTGTCAGATCTAGTCTTAGTCTAGTAGACTGTAGAGTTGTACCCTCAACTAGCCTCCTTCGCAGTCTTGTTGGGCGTCGGCGTTATTTTTTTCTGTGAGCGGCGCAAGTAATATTGATAGTGATATGGACGATTTGCTGCCGAGGGAGTTTCTGCCACGGAGAGAAGGTTGTTGGAGCCCTGAACCATCTCTCCGCGGCAAAAACTCCCTCAGCAGCAAATCGTCCCTCGCGGCCACATATTACTCGTGTCGCTCAAGGAAAAAAATAACGCTGACGCCCAACAAGACTGAGAAGGAGGCTACCCTCAACAGGGAAGGGGTAGATCTCTCAGGCCCTTGTTATGCAGAACAGGAGCTTAAGTGTTGTCTGTCCCGGGGGTCTCTCAGTCACTGACGAAAACTAGTGGATGCTAGCTGAAACGTCTGACCGTTTCCAAAATCATATCCAGTTGCTTGAGTAACTGCTCTGTGGCGCACCTAATTCACTGATTCATAAGCTTTTCATTCTACACCATCAGACATTTCTGGAGCCTTGCTGGATCCATGCACCAACCATGGACCAACTCCCTGCCCTTACCCGGCTCTATCAGAAGATTTCTGACAACTTGTCGGATGAAGACGTCAGCAGTCTACGCTCCTTGCTGGTCCCTGAAATTCTGGGAGTAGCAAGAGTCCAACATGCAACAGCTCTCCAAATTTTCAAAATGTTGCAGGCCGACAATAAGATCGGCAAAGGCAACATGGACTTGCTCGTGCAGCTTCTAAGAAGTTTGGGAAAAGGAAGATTGGCCAAGGAGGCGGAACAACTTGAACAAGAACAGAAGACAGAAGGTATGTCTGACAATTTGTAGTAAGAAGTAATAATAAATGAAGAAAGTTTACATCCATTGTTTGTACAGGACCTGTTTATAGCCATCTTACATAAACCACAAAGTGTCCGATCATACAAAATTGTAGGTTGCATGATACAACACTGTAATAAAAAAAAGTTATAAAAGTCTATGATTGTCTTCTATGATGATTTTTTGTACAGTGAAACTGAGCAATGCTTTAGTTAATATATTTCCAGTGCAGTATTCCACCAAGCATTGAAGAAGCATCTTGGCTTAATTTTCTAGCTGAAAAACAGTCACCATATTATGTTTCATTTAGAGTTAAAGCATTAGGGATTAAGTCAACAAACAAATTGAGCATTAGGGATTAAATCAACAAAACTGCCTGCCAGTCCAGCTTATTATTTAGTAAGTATTTGTTATGTTGGTGGTCACCTATCCATAGCACAAGCAGCCGCCCATCAGCAGACAAACCCATCCATGAGCGAGGCCCATCGCACCCTACTCCTGAGGAACTACCCAAACATCTACCAGGACCTAGATGCCACAAGTGTACTGGGCCATCTCTACCAGGAGGGAGTGCTCACAGGTGGGATGGTGGATGGGATCTTGGCCATCCCTGAGGACCAAAGACACCACAGGACTGGGACATTACTGGACCTGATTCGGAAAGGAGATGACAGAGCTTTCAGCGTCTTCTGCACAGCCCTGGGGCATGCTGGGTACCCACATCTCATGCAGCAGCTCATGCGGCGTAAGTATGGGTTTCATTGGGTTCTTGAAACTTGTGCATGGTAACACTTCAAACATAATATTATCAATGACTGTACCTTCTTTTTCAGCAACTGAAATGGCACTGGCTATCTACCAAAGCATCCAAGGAGGTGAAAGTTTTCATGTGTCCATAGCAGAACAACCCCATGATGGCCAGTTAACCATTCCAAATCAACATCTTTTGACTACAGAATATCAAAAAGAGCAGGTTCGCCAACTGAAAAAGAGAATGAAGAATGAGCTCAAGGAACTTTACAGGTATAAAAAAAAACAAGTGAAACTAGCACACAAAAAATTGTCCCAAGAAAGCTTTGAGAGAAAGTTTGACCAGATTCAGGCCGAAGTTAAAGCTGAACGAGCCATTATTGTCAGTAAATACAGGGGCTGTTTGATTCTGTTTCTGACGTTTGAGTCTGAGCCCAACTTTGCACATTTCTGGGGTTCCTGCGTGAGTGGCCGTCTGTCTGCCAGGCTGACTGAGCTGCTGGTTACTGAGGAGCTGCGGAAACTGGAGGGAGGAGACCAGCTGGGGGTGAAAACACTCGTACTGCAGCAGGACTATACCGCATGGAGGGACTACTTTGGGAAAGGTAACATTACATGATTGTACCTTAATGTGGATTGTGACTGAATGTTTTTTCTGAAGGGCCACCAAGTTTCACAAGTCTGAAGATAAGTTTTAACTTCCAACTCAAGCTAAAACTTTACAGAATAAACAAGACTAATAAAAACCTGTAGAATTAGCACTTCCTTCTAAATACTAGATCTATATTCAAGCCAATTGATATGCTGCATCCTCAACTGATATCACTGACACAGATACAAAATGTGCTTTTTTCACCAAACTGTGGAAATGAAATGTTAGTCTGGCAGCTGAAGAGCTGGAAGTTATCACTTTAATTTTGTAACTATACAACTTGTCACAGGTGATCCACAGTTGGCCTCACCAGACACTTCCAGACAGACAGAAGCGCAGGTCAGACGGAAACCAAGAGGAGAAAGCATCGGATCTGCAAGCATCCAATCAGTCACAAGCACCATATCAGCTGGAAGCACCATATCGGCAGGAAGTGTTCTATCATCAGATTCAGGCTACGCATCAACTGGACCTGAAGGTGAGATTTCTTTCTCAGAAGAGCAGATAGTGAGCTTTCAGCATCACTAGACACTCAGATTTGACACATAATTCTACAAAAATAATTATAGAGTGTGGGAAAATAAGGTTTTCATCAAATATCTTTCAGCAATAGATTTTGCAATAATATTGAGGCTGATTTTGAAATGGTTGATTTTTTTCCTAATTCATAGGGAGAAAAACTGCAGAAAAGTACAAGGCATCCATAGAGGCTGCCATCTCCAAGATGACTGAGGAACTGAAGAACCTTGACGAGGAACAAACAGCCACAGCAGAGAACTGTGAGCAGGTAGAGAAAGAGGTCCAGCAGCACTACGAAGAGTTGATCTCCAAACTCCAGCAGGAGAAACAGGAGATGGTCGCAAAGGTACAAAAAGTCAACAGAGACAGGGGAGGGGAACTGACTCGGGAGAAAGAAAAACTGCAGACAAAACTCGAAAAGAGTAAGGAAGAGGTACATTTATGTGAGAAGATACTAGACGGTAAAAAAGACACAGAAACTATGGTCTTTAGGCAAAAAATAGAAGAAAAGTTCCAGAAACTCTCATTAGAGGAAACAGGCAAGAGCAGTTTGGTAGGTCATACAAAAGTGACATTTAAACCCTCTAGTCTGTCTCAGGCTTCTGGAGGTTCCTTGTCAGTGTTTGCTGGATTCACTATTGATGTACAGGAGCCAGCAGTAGAGAGTCTTCCCTGTTCTGTCAAAGTTACAGCCAACAATGCAGATCTAACAGGTGGCAAAGTTGCACCACAGATAGAAGTGACCTCCCCCAAGGGTAAAACCACCCTCATACAAACAACAGCACACACTAGTCCCCCACTAGCTGCAGGGAAGGGACAAACCAGCAGAGTTAGCAGGGTCTGGGGTGCAGAGTGGAGACCTCAGCAGTCAGGCAAACACACACTGGGAGTCTGTATGGGGGGTATGGAGTATCTTTGTTCTCTCACTGTAGATGTGAGCTGTAACAATCCTGTAGTGAGCCTTGGGGAGAGGGGGAGCCAACAGGGGCAGTTTAACGGTCCTTGGGTTGTAGCAGTCAGGGGGGACAGGCTGTATGTGGCTGATTGTTTGAACAATCGTGTTCAGGTGTTTGATCTGAGTGGGAAGTTTTGTCACTCATTTCCTACTGACTATCCTGTAGGACTTGCAGTTCAGACTGATGGCACCATAGTGGTGAAGTCTGGGAAGGAAGTGAAGAAATTTTCCCCATCAGGAGAACTGCTGCACAAATTCCCTCTGGGTGAATATTGCACAGGCCCCTATGGGCTGGCAGTACAGAGGGATGGGAGGGTTGTTGTAGCTGATCCAGGCAAACACAGCATCTTCCTGTTTGAGGCAGATGGGACACTGGTGAAACAGGTGGGAGGGAAGGGGAAGGGGGAGGGGCAGTTTGATCAGCCATATTTTGTCTGTGTGGATAAAGAAGACAACATCATTGTGGCAGATAGATTCAACTCCCGTGTTCAGGTGTTTGACAGGAATCTGAACTTCCAGCACAAGTTTGGTCAGTTTGGCAGACAGCCACAGGACATGTGGAGTCCTATGGGGGTGTCAGCTGACAGCAGGGGGAACATAGTTCTGACAAACAGTGCGAAGCATGGTATTCAGGTGTTCCGCCCAGACGGCACCTGGGTGTCCACCATCAGCAGTGATGGGGACAAACTGATCGATCCCCACGGGGTGGCTGTGACAGAGGATGGACATGTGTTTGTAGCTGATTATAGTGACGACTGTATCAGGATGTACAGATACATGTAACAGTGCAGAATGTTCCAGGTACAGGAACTGTGTGCACCTCACAAGCTCAGTAAGGTCCACTTTGGGACAGGCATTAGTACAGTCCTAGTAAAGTATGACTGTACATGATGTTATCATAATGGTTTGGTCAGGAACTGAGTACAAGTAACATTTTGTCCAGGATACAGGAGCAATAATGTCAGAATTGGGACATGTCTGGTCTCAGTAGGTTTGTACTATGTGCTATATGTATAAGATGGAACTAAAATAGTCTGCATCTAAATGCTTACATCACTTTGTATTACTTTTTAGTTAAATTTGTGATTGGACTTATCATGAGTCTAAATAGGATCTTTCTTCAAATACATCATTTGATGTGGTCTAAGTCGTTTTGTACAATGTAGTGATTTCCCTGCCATTACTTTGTGCATGAATAAAATGATCAGATCAATTTATGTACATGGCTTTTGTGATTTACGGTTTTTGTGTGTTTATAACTGTGTGTGTGTGTGTGTGTGTGTGTGTGTGTGTGTGTATGAATGTGTGTGTGTGCATGTGTCTGTGTGTGTGTGTGCGCGTGTGCGTAAATTGTGTGTGTGTGTGTGTCTGTGCATGTATGTGTGTGGTGTGTTTGTGTGTGTGTGTGTGTATGTGTGTGTGTGTGTGTAGTGTGTATGTGTGTGTGTTTGGGGTATACATGTATGTGTGTGTGCATGTGTGCTGTGCGTGTGTGCATGTGTGTGTGTATGTGTGTGTGTGTGGTAGGCTTTAATAATTAGAAAAAATGACAGAGAATTTAAAAATATCTCGAGTAACTTCAGAGTCAAAAGTTTTTATGACACTCTAAAAGTTATGGAGAACTAAAAACACCATGGTGTAACATCTACTCACATAATGCTGCAAGGTCACATATATCTGCAATGCTGAAAAATGTGCCTAAACAGATCCCCAATGCAGGAGGAATGACAGATTATCATGAAAGTTCATCTGTGTTGGTAGTAATCATAGTAAAACATTGAACTTTATTCCAACACAAGGTGTTACAGAGCGATCAAATTTTTGACGACCACTGTCGCCTTCATCAGGCACTTTTGATCAATTGCTTACGTCGCGTATCAGTAAAGTCTTGTGTGAATAAGGTCACTTGTTTGTAAACCGTAACTATCGCGAGATCATGTTGTGAAGTGATTGGTCATTAATTATCCTAATGAAGGCGACAGTGGTCACTGAAAATTTGATCGCTCTGTAACCCTTGTGTTGGAATAAAGTTCAATCTTTTACTGTGAGAAATGACAGAGACAGAGAAACAGTTGTAATGTAAAGAGAAGGTATAATCAGCACCAAGGACAGCTACCATCCTGGCAACATGTGGCTACACAGGTCTCCTATGCAACATCTCTGTGTTATAACACACATTATAACAGAGATAGAGATACTATTTCGTAAAGAGAAGGCAGACAGCACCAAGGACAGGTCCCATAAACCCTTAACCCTGACAAAATGTATCTAAACAGATCCCCAATAGAAACTCTAGCATACATATTTTAACACACATCATGACAGAGATAACATTAGGTATACCAAAATGTATAAACTAAAGAAAAGGCAGGCAGCACCAAGCACAGGTCACATATGCCTGCCACCCTGACAAAATGTGTCTACCCTATTAAACAGATCCCCAATACCAAATCTCTGCAGATTAACACTCAGAAAGACAGAGACAGAGATACCACAACTAGAAGTGTTTAACACCAGGGTCTATTGTGTGACTGTGTACATGTGACCTCAGCTTGCTATAAACACACTGGTTAATAATAAATGATATCTGGATGCACTTTGACCTTTGAGCAAGCACCTACTCAGCAAATAGAAGACCCAAGTTCCACCCCCAACTTCACTACAAACAGGTGAGATTTCTACCATGTCTTTCCCTGTACCTGTAGGATGACTCTATGTTAGCTTTAGAGAATGATATAACAGTTAGAAAAGAGACTCTTTTTACACAACCAAGTCTTTTATTCAGCCGATGTTTCGGTGACCGTCTGTCACCTTCCTCAGAGCAGTTCTGATTGGTTCACATTGCACTGCAGCACAGGTGTCACTGAATAAAAGACTTGGTTGCGTAAAAAGAGTCTCTTTACTAAGCGTCTTACCAACCTGATGAAACTATTCACGGATGATATAACAGTTACTGTAACAGTAACTCAATCTCTAAATGACACATGTTAGACACTTGGGAAAAATCCCAGGCTAGGGGTCAAAGTCTCTCCACAACACTGGCCTGTGTGCTTTAACTTTTACTTCTCATTAAAGAATCCAGAACCTGGTTTTGAGTCATTTAAACCTTGCCTCAGTGCATTAAAATTAACCTCTTCAGAGTTTTACTGAGGCTTTGATGATAACAAAAGAGGCACAGACATATGATATGGAGACACAAACAGCAGGTTAATGTGATGATGGCAAAAACTAGTGCTAAAAAATATTGAACAAGCACTGTGCAAAATTAGGGCCATGCTCAATTCTCTACATTGTGTGACCAACAGTTGTTTCATCATTTCCTTCTACTAAGTTCTAGTTCAAGGATCTGACAAGTTTGCTTCAAGCATGATTTGTTATCAATTTTGTATCCTTATTATTATTAGCCCCTTTGGTTATATGATAGCAGATGATAACATCATACCTTTTTAAGCCCCCCCAACCCCACATACATGTCCCTGATACACACCTGTCTGTTTCAGGTGTTTCCATGTAGCTTAAAGACATCAAACACTGACACCTGTATGTTCCAGGTGTTTCCATGCACCTGACAGACATCAAACAGGGACACCTGAATGTTTCAGGTGTTTCCATGCACCTGACATAAAACACTGACACCTGTATGTTCCAGGTGTTTCCATGCACCTGACATCAAACACTGACACCTGTATGTTCCAGGTGTTTCCATGTACCTGACATCAAACCCTGACACCTGTATGAGTCATCATGGCTGAGGGAAGACAGGGAGGACAGACAGGTAAGGCTGCATATGTCCTGCTGGCCTCTCAGCTTTTCAAATCTACAACTTATAGTTATACATCTACCCACCCCTGCTTGATGAAAACTAAATCCATGGGGTGTACAGTTGTTAAATATATGGACATGGATTCATTAATGTATATCATTAATCTTTAACATTTTGCAGAAATGTTATATTTTGATTTCAGGAACTTACTGAAACATCTAAAGGCAGTGCTGCTATACATTTTGTAGATGTTGCTAGACAGCACTGGGTCCCTTCTATCTAATTATTAACTGTAACTGCCCTTACTGCAGCTCTTTTGGCACAGTTTGAAAGTGGTGGTTATGTCAGGGTAACCCACCTGGTCATGACAATTTAGACAGACAGACCATAATTCCACAAGGCTAATACATTGTGTTACACTGACTGCAAATGATAAATATGAAATAATCTTCTAAATGTTTCTTTGCAGGTGTCCGCAAGTACTTCTTTTTCATCAAAGAAAATGTGAGCTCAAATTGGAAGGACCTGGCCTTCTTTCTTGGTTTTCGACGGTCAGACATCGACAACATTAGTGGGAGAAATGAAGATGACAAATCTAGCTGTATGCACCTGTTGGAGGAATGGTACGAACGAAATGGGCAGAGTGCCACTATAGAGGTCCTGATGGAGGCTCTGTCTGAGGCAGGGTTACAGAGTACTGTGGATGGTCTGAAGGACAAATATGGTAAGAATTGTGTTTTGTCAACTCTCTGATGTGTTTAGTCTTTTAGACCATGAGAACAGCACTGAAGAAAGGACAGCTGGGACACAAAGTTAGTTAAAAAAAGTTTAAGTCCTTCCTGCACTACGTGTTTCAAAGGGCGGCGCCCATCTCCGATGTTGTGCAACGCATCACACCGCAGCGAAACGGAATGCGGAAGTAAATATGCCACCACAGGGCAAAAAACTCAAGGAACTATGACCTGATTAAGACTTCAAATTATTTGAAAATATTGTGTCAAAATTTCCAGCAGGACAGGGTTAAGAAGTGGATAAACAGTTACTGTTACAGTAGTACAAATCTTCCATAGAAGCAGCCATCTCCAAGAAATGCAGCATGTAGGTGGGATGGGTCTACGTACAGGTACAGGTACTCATGATACAGAATTCCATGTTCTTAAAACTAAATTTGTGTTTGTTGCCATCTAAACACAGCACAAGAACAAGGAGCAGCAGCAGCATCTATGAGCGAGGCCCATCGCACCCTACTCCTGAGGAACTACCCAAACATCTACCAGGAACTAGACGCCACTAGTGTACTGGGCCATCTCTACCAGGAGGGAGTGCTCACAGGTGGGATGGTGGATGGGATCCTGGCCATCCCTGAGGACCAAAGACACCACAGGACTGGGACGCTACTGGACCTGATTCGGAAAGGAGATGACAGAGCTTTCAGCGTCTTCTGTGAAGCCCTGGAGCATGCTGGGTACCCACATCTCATGGACCTGCTCACAGGAGGGCAACAGGTACTCAGGCCACGTGAGTATGAGAAATTCGGTTCTGTTCATCAAATATTATGGGTGTGGCTAAAAGGGTTGCAGCCATTTTTCTGAGGTGACGTCTTGTGCATTGTTCAGCTGCTCTTCTTCCAACTTCAAATTCATTGATGCACAATAATTTCTTTCCACCATCATGACATTTTCCAAGTTCAAAATGTTATCCCAACACGTGTACACACAAGTTCTCAATTACAATATATCTTTCTTCAATTTGGTGACTGCAGAAAACTAACAACATTTTGGACATGTTTTTATATGAAATCTAACGGTCAACCCTTGACTGTTATTAATACCCATGCTTGTATGTAAATATTTTGTATCAACATGATGGTTACTTTGTGACTTTCAGCAATGCCCATGGCACTGGCTATCTACCCTGGCTTTCAAGGGACGGAATCTCAAAATTTGGATGTATCTATTGGACAGCAACCTCAGTTAGTCATTCAAAGGCAATTTGACACTTCCCTAACAGTGTATCAAAGGGAACAGGTTTTCCAACTGAAGACTAAAATGAGGGATGAAGAGCTCAGGGCACTTTATATGTATGAAGAAAATCAAGTTAAAATATTGAAGAAAGCAAAAGCATTTTTGACCCAAGAAAGTTTAGAGAGAAAGTTTGATGAACTTTGTGCAAAAGTTGAAGCTAAACATGCCATTGTTGTTGGGAAATACTGGGGCTGCCTAATTCTGTTTCTGACGTTTGAGTCTGAGCCCAAATTTGCCCATTTCTGGGGTTCCTGCGTGAGTGGCCGTCTGTCTGCCAGGCTGACTGAGCTGCTGGTTACTGAGGAGCTGCGGAAACTGGAGGGAGGAGACCAGCTGGGGGTGAAAACACTCGTACTGCAGCAGGACTATACCGCATGGAGGGACTACTTTGGGAAAGGTAACTTTATGTGATTTTACATTGAACTTTCTTTTATGTGGTGAAGAGTGTGTGACTGAATCATTTTTTCTGAGAGGCCACTGAGTTTCACAAGTCTCGTGGTAAGTTTTAACTTCCAACTCAAGTTAAAACTTTACAGTATAAACAAGACTAATAAAAACCTGTAGAATTAGCACTTCCTTCTAAATACTAGAATCTATATTCAGGCCAATATGCTACATCCTCAACTGATATCACTGACACAGATACAAAATGTGTTTTTTTCCACCAAACTGTGGAAATGAAATGTTAGTCTGGCAGCTGAAGAGCTGGAAGTTATCACTTTAATTTTGTAACTATACAACTTGTCACAGGTGATCCACAGTTGGCCTCACCAGACACTTCCAGACAGACAGAAGCGCAGGTCAGACAGAAACCAAGAGGAGAAAGCATCGGATCTGCAAGCATCCAATCAGTCACAAGCACCATATCAGCTGGAAGCACCATATCGGCAGGAAGTGTTCTATCATCAGATTCAGGCTACGCATCAACTGGACCTGAAGGTGAGATTTCTTTCTCAGAAGAGCAGATAGTGAGCTTTCAGCATCACTAGACACTCAGATTTGACACATAATTCTACAAAAATAATTATGGGAAAATAAAATAGGTGTTCATCAAATATCTTTTAGCAATGGTTGATTTTTTTCCTAATTTGTAGGGAGAAAAACTGCAGAAAAGTACAAGGCATCCATAGAAGCTGCCATCTCCAAGATGACTGAGGAACTGAAGAACCTTGACGAGGAACAAACAGCCACAGCAGAGAACTGTGAGCAGGTAGAGAAAGAAATCAAGCAGAACTACGAAGAGTTGATCTCCAAACTCCAGCAGGAGAAACAGGAGATTATCACAAAGGTACAAAAAGTCAACAGAGACAGGGGAGGGGAACTGACTCGGGAGAAAGAAAAACTGCAGACAAAACTCGAAAAGAGTAAGGAAGAGGTACATTTATGTGAGAAGATACTAGACGGTAAAAAAGACACAGAAACTATGGTCTTTAGGCAAAAAATAGAAGAAAAGTTCCAGAAACTCTCATTAGAGGAAACAGGCAAGAGCAGTTTGGTAGGTCATACAAAAGTGACATTTAAACCCTCTAGTCTGTCTCAGGCTTCTGGAGGTTCCTTGTCAGTGTTTGCTGGATTCACTATTGATGTACAGGAGCCAGCAGTAGAGAGTCTTCCCTGTTCTGTCAAAGTTACAGCCAACAATGCAGATCTAACAGGTGGCAAAGTTGCACCACAGATAGAAGTGACCTCCCCCCAGGGTAAAACCACCCTCATACAAACAACAGCACACACTAGTCCCCCACTAGCTGCAGGGAAGGGACAAACCAGCAGAGTTAGCAGGGTCTGGGGTGCAGAGTGGAGACCTCAGCAGTCAGGCAAACACACACTGGGGGTCTGTATGGGGGGTATGGAGGATCTTTGTTCTCTCACTGTAGATGTGAGCTGTAACAATCCTGTTGTGAGGATTGGGAAGAGGGGGAGCCAGCAGGGGCAGTTTGACAGGCCTATAGATGTAGCAGTCAGGGGGGACAGGCTGTATGTGGCTGATAATGGTAACCATCGTGTTCAGGTATTTGATCTGAGTGGGAAGTTTTGTCACTCATTTCCTACTGACTATCCTAGAGGACTTGCAGTTCATACTGATGGCACCATAGTGGTGAACTCTGGGATGAAAGTGGGGAAGAAATTTTCCCCATCAGGGGAACTGCTGCACAAATTCCCTCTGGGTGAATATTGCACATACCCCTATGGGCTGGCAGTACAGAGGGATGGGAGGGTTGTTGTAGCTGATCCAGGCAAACACAGCATCTTCCTGTTTGAGGCAGATGGGACACTGGTGAAACAGGTGGGAGGGCTGGGGGAGGGGGAGGGGCAGTTTGATGAGCCATGTTTTGTCTGTGTGGATAAAGAAGACAACATCATTGTGGCAGATCATGGCAACCACCGTGTTCAGGTGTTTGACAGGAATCTGAACTACAAACACAAGTTTGGTCAGAAGGGCAGACAGCCACAGGACATGTGGTGGCCTAATGGGGTGTCAGCTGACAGCAGGGGGAACATAGTTCTGGCAAACCGTTGGAAGCATGGTATTCAGGTTTTTCGCCCAGACGGCACCTGGCTGTCCACCATTAGCAGTGATGGGGACAAACTGAATGATCCCCGCGGGGTGGCTGTGACAGAGGATGGACATGTGTTTGTAGCTGATGAATATGACTACTGTGTCAAGAAGTACAGATACATGTAACAGTGCAGAATGTTCCAGGTACAGGAACTGTGAGCACCTCACAAGCTCAGTAAGGTCCACTTGACAGCATTTAGTTATATTTGAATATATATATATGAGTTCTAACCATTCTACTACTACCTAGGACAAGCATTTAGTGCAGTCCAAGTTTGGTCAGGGCCATATGATTTAACCTACTACCTGAGTACAAGTAACATTTTGTCCAGGATACAGGAGCAATAATGTCAGAAATTTGGACATGTTTGGTCTCAGTAGATTTGTACTATTTGTATAAGGGGGAATGTAGTCTGCATTTCAATACATCACTTTTGTAATTTGACTTATTACATGTACATTTGTACAAGTCTAAAAAAAAAGGATCTTTCTTCTAAATTACTACGTCATTCAATGTGTTCTAAGTCTTTTTGTAAAATGTAGTAATTTCTCTACCATTGCTTTGTGCATGAATAAAAAGATGAAATCAATTTACACAGCTTTTGTGACTTACTTTTGCGGTGTGTGTGTGTTTGCATGATATGTATGTGCATAGGCATGTGTATATATGCATGTGCAAGTGTGTGTGACTGTGTGTGTGTGCGTGTATGATTGTGCAGGTGTGTGTACAGTGTATTAAATTGTGTGTGTGTGTGTGTGTGTGTGTGTGAGTGTGTGTGTGTGCATGTGTGTGTACAGTCTATTTGTGAGTGAGTGTGTGTGTCTCTGTCTGTGTATTTGTGTGTGGGTGTAGATGTGTATGGACCCTCTCTGGCAAATAGATACTGCCTGGCCAATTTGCCACCCTAGGATCTGCTTGGAGATTAGTTTATAAAACATTCCAAGCCCCATGCTGTCTACTACCTTCCATGATGATGATGATGATGAAATGGTTTATTGAGGATAAAAACACTGGCAGCCTTACATAGGCTGAATTGTGGTTCTTTAACAATTCATTCATCTTAGACTAATTGGCAACATAATACAAAATTCTTATCAAATAGATTAAAATAGGAAGGTACGACCATGACACTAGAAGTACTGAACTTGTGCCCACTTCTAATGCTGACTCCTGTCCCAAGTCTTATACATGTACAGGACTATGTGGGCCATGATAACAATTAAGGTTTCTCCATGATATCTGTGATGGTGTCACTTATTGATGCACCTCTTTATAAAATAAAAATAAAGCAAAATTCTTAACTTACTGACTTCTGCCCTGCTGGATTTCCCTGTTCTGTACAAAAAGTTAGAAGACATAGCAATAGAGCAGAGCACCCCTGTTCTATAGAATAGGAAAATATACCGTAGATCTGACAAGACTGGATATACAAAGCTGAAAACTTTATTATTGGATAGGTCCAATTTCCATAGGAAAGTTGTAGGCTTCAATAACTTAAAGTAAAAATAAAAACAGAGAATTCAAGAATATGTGTGTGCATGTGTGTATGTGTGTGTGTGTGTATGTGTGTGTGTGTGTGTGCGTGTGTGTTCGTGTGTGTGTATGTGTGCACATGTGTGTGTGTGAGTGTGTGTGTGTGTGTGTGTATGTGTGTGTGTGTGTGTGTATGTGTGTGTATGTGTGTGTGTGTGTGTGTATGTGTGTGTTTGTGTGTATGTGTGTGTATGTGTGTGTGTGTGTGTGTATGTGTGTGTTTGTGTGTGTGTATGGGTGTGTGTGTGTGTGTGTGTCGTAGGCTTTAATAATTAGAAAAAATGACAGAGAATTCAAGAATATCTTGAGTAACTTCAGAGTCAAAAGATTTTCTGACACTCTAAAAGTTATGGAGAACTAAAAACACCATGGTGTAACTTCTACTCACATGATGCTGCAAGGCCACAAATATCTGCAATGCTGAAAAATGTGTCTAAACAGATCCCCAATACAGGAGGAATGACAGATTATCATGAAAGTTCATCTGTGTTGGTAGTAATCATAGTAAAACATTGAACTTTATTCCAACACAAGGGTTACAGAGCGATCAAATTTTCGACGACCACTGTCGACTTCATCAGGCACTTTTGATCAATTGCTTATGTCACGTATCAGTAAAGTCTTGTGTGAATAAGGTCATTGTTTGTAAACCGTAACTCTCGCGAGATCATGTTGTGAAGTGATTGATCATTAATTATCCTGATGAAGGCGACAGTGGTCGTCAAAAATTTGATCGCTCTGTAACCCTTGTGTTGGAATAAAGTTCAATGTTTTACTATGAGAAATGACAGAGACAGAGAAACAGTTGTAATGTAAAGAGAAGGTATAATCAGCACCAAGGACAGCTACCATCCTGACAACATGTGGCTACACAGGTCTCCTATGCAACATCTGTTATTACACACATTATAACGGAGATATACATACTATATCGTAAAGGGAAGGCAGTCAGCACCAAGGACAGGTCTCATATACCCACCACCCCCTGAAAGCTGTCCAAACTGATCTCCAAGCCACTATTTCTGTATAATAACACACATTATAACAGAGATATACATACTATTTCATAAAGAGAAGGCAGTCAGCACCAAGGACAGGTCACATAGACCCACCACCCCCCAAAAAGCTGTCCAAACTGATCTCCAAGCCACTATTTCTGTACATTATAACAGAGATAGAGGTACTATTATAAAAGGAAGGCAGTCAGCACCAAGGACAGGTCTCATATACCCACTATCCTGAACGGATCCATAATACAAAATCTAGTATTTATGATAACACACATCATGACAGAGATACTACATGTATAATGTATAATGTAAAGGGAAGGCAGTCAGCACCAAGAACAGGTCAACTACATTGTATACCCCCAACCCTGATGGGTCTACACCAATCTCCAATACAAAATCTCTGTAAGATAACACACATCATGATATAGACTCTGAGATACTATTATAATAGAATGTAAAGGGAAGGCAGACAGCACCAAGGACAAGTCCCATAAACCCTAAACCCTGACAAAATGTATCTAAACAGATCCCCAATAGAAACTCTAGCATACATATTTTAACACACATCATGACAGAGATAACATTAGGGATACCAAAATGTATAAACTAAAGAAAAGGCAGTCAGCACCAAGCACAGGTCACATATGCCTGCCACCCTGACAAAATGTGTCTACCCTAAACAGATCCCAAATACAAAATCTCTGCACATTAACACTCAGAAAGACAGAGATACCACAACTAGAAGTGTTTAACACGTACCAGGGTCTATTGTGTGACTGTGTACGTGTGACCTCAGCTTGCTATAAACACACTGGTTAATATTAACCCATTTTTCTGGATGCACTTTGACCTTTGTGCAAGCACCTACTCAGCAAACAGGAGACCCAAGTTCCACCCCCAACTACACTACAAACAGGTGAGATTTCTACCAAGTCTTTCCCTGTACCTGTAAGATGACTCTATGTTGGCTTTAGAGAATGATATAACAGTTAGTAAAGAGACTCTTTTTACACAACTGAGTCTTTAATTCAGCCGATGTTTCGGTGACCGTCTGTCACCTTCCTCAGGGTAATTCTGATTGGTTCACATTGCACTGCAGCACAGGTGTCGCTGAATAAAAGACTTGGTTGTGTAAAAAGAGTCTCTTTACTCAGTGTCTTACCAACCTGATGAAACTATTCACGGATGATATAACAGTTACAGTAACTGGAACTAAATCTCTAAATGACTCATACCAAATCTCTGCAGATTATCATGAAAGTTCATCTGTGTTGGTAGTAATCATAGTAAAACGTTAAACTTTATTCCAACACACTATTTGCAGGGATCAAATTTTCAGCGACCACTGTCGCCTTCATCAGGATAATTAATGACCAATCACTTCAAAACGTGATCTCGCGAGAGTCACGTTTTGAAGTGATTGGTCATTAATTATCCTGATGAAGGCGACAGTGGTCGCTGAAAATTTGATCCCTGCAAATAGTGTGTTGGAATAAAGTTTAACGTTTTACTATAAAATCTCTGCAGATTAACACTCAGAAAGACAGAGACAGAGATGCCACAACTAGAAGTGTTGACACTTCGGAAAAATAGCAGGCCAGGGGTCAAAGTCTCTCCACAACACTGGCCTGTGTGCTTTAACTTTTACTGCTCATTAAAGAATCGAGGACCTGGTTATGAGTTATTCAAACCTTGGCTCAGTGCATTAAAATTAGCCTCTAAGTCTTCATAGTTTTACTGAGTCTTTGATGATTATAAAAGAGGCACAGACATGTTATGAAGACACAAACTGCAGGTTAAAGTGATGATGGCAAAAACTAGTGCTAATAAATAATGAACAAGCACTGCCCAAAATTAGGGCCATGCTCCATTCTCTACATTGTGTGACAAACAGTTGTCTCATCCTTGAGTTCTTTATTGCAAGTTCATGCCTGAGGGATAATTGCAAACAGACATTGACAAGAACAATGAGTACAGAATATAGTGATATAAAACTATATGCTAACATGAAGTTCTACGCATACATTCTTCTCATTAAAGTTACTATCTCTAAAACTAATAACGTTGGTATACAGGATAAAGAGTAAATATTTAACCTTCTAGTTCAAGGACCTGACAAGTTTGCTTGTATACTAATGGTATGTTAACTTAGTTAACCATGATTTCTTACTAATTTATTATCCTACATATTAGCCCCTTTGGTAATATGATATGGAAGTAGTTGTTTAAGGCACACCCCACATACATGTCCCTGATACACACCTGTATGTTCCAGGTGTTTCCATGCAGCACCTGGATCAAACCCTGACACCTGTATGTTTCAGGTGTTCCCATGCACCTGACATCAAACCCTGACACCTGTATGTTTCAGGTGTTTCCATGCACCTGACATCAAACACTGCCACCTGTCTGTTTCAGGTGTTTCCATGCACCTGACATCAAACACTGACACCTGTATGTTCCAGATGTTTCCATGCACCTGACATCAAACACTGACACCTGTATGTTCCAGGTGTTTCCATGCACCTGAAATCAAACACTGACACCTGTATGTGTCATCATGGCTGAGGGAAGACAGGGAGGACAGACAGGTAAGGCTGCACACGTCCTGGGCTCTCAGCTTTTGAAATTACTGACACAAATGTATAACCACCCTGCCACAATGCAAACAACATGGTGTTATTCTTAATATGGAATAAGCAATACCTTTGCAGGTTCTATAACCTATATAATTATTCTACAAATCCATGACAGTTCTTGAAATGGCTTATATCAAGAAAGGCAGGTTTATCAAAAACACCAAGTGGGACTTCCAATAATAAAAGTGTGTCCACTCAACACATATAAACTCATGTCATGTAGTTTTATATGTTCAGGTGTAGATTTTCAGTCTGCCTGTATTAATATAATGTCTTCAAGTTACCACGAACATGTATATACTGTACTACCATGAGTTTTGTTTCCCCAAATATCGTCTTTGCTTTTTTTTTTCCTGAAGGTGCTGAGAGATGGGTAATCTTGTTGATCAATGACGAGTATGGAACTTCCAAGGGGGGAGTTTCTACCATCAACCTCGAGGCGGTTCAAACCCTGAGGGGCAAGGCAGTGAAGGACAAGACAGTCGTGTACGCCACAGCCCTGCGTGTGCCCAAACAAGACCAGGAGGCAGCAGACAGAGACGGCATCACACTGATCACACCCTATCAGTCAGAAGGGGACAAGAGAGAGCCATCCCTAGACTGGCTAACCCTTGAATTCAAGAGCCACTTCCCAAAATCAACGCTATCATCACATGAATACCAGGAAAGCCGCGGCCCCAAATCGACGCTACCACCACATGTTGATGTCATCGTCGGCCACGCTGACATCACAGACACGGCAGCGCGAAACATCCACGATGAGTACTACATGGAGGCAGACCTCATCATGTTCACTCACGTCTTACCCGAGGACACTGAATACTTTAAGGGAGGTCAGAGGGTCATGGAAGCTTCGGAGAAAGAGAGGATTATGATTGAGCAAGTTCACAACGCAAAGGCAGCTTTCTCTGTGGGTCACCGGATCTTCAAGCATTTTCAGAATAAGTACAGAGGAGTCAAGAAACCAAGAGAGCACCACCTATTCTTCCCAAGGCCATCCAAGATATTTGAAGAGGTCAACATCCAACCTGACAGCGGGGAAGGTGAGTTGGTGGTCCTGTCTTTTGGGAGGGTGAAGAATGTTGAGAATCTAAAGGGTTGCAACCTTGCAGGAAGGGCCATTGGGATTGTCAGAAAGTATCTGGAGTCTCTGCGATGGATTGCGTGTGGAATCAGTGAGGATGGTTGGGAAAAGAGCTTGAAGATCCTGGAAGAGGCCCTGAACAGCGGTGACCTGAGACCCACCCTGCGGCCGTACGGGACCCAGGAGGAGATTATGGAGGACATGATGACGGCCCACCTGGTCCTGATGCCATCCCGCTCTGAGCCGTTTGGGCTGGTTGGCCTGGAGGCCATCGCAGCAGGCATCCCTGTCATCATCTCTGACAAGTCAGGACTAGCGGATATGATCAAGAAGCTCGTTGCTGAGGAGAAGTTGCCACCAGGTCTCAACAACAGAATCGTGGAGACCAGTATGCGAGACAGCGACTTGGACAAAACTGCTGAAAAGTGGGCTGACAAAATCCGTGACACTCTGACCGACACTGACAGAGCATTCAGAGATGCAAAGGAGTTCAAAGATGCGCTTCTGAAGTCAAAGTACTGGGAGGACTCTGAGAGAGAGTTCCTGCAAGCCTGCAGTATCATAGGTACAACCATTTTGAATCCAGTATCTTATTTGCTCTTGTCCTTTAACCTTCTCCCTGTTGCCTAACATCATAGCCAATAGAAAATGGTAAAAAAATAGCTACTTCAGTGTGCTAAAGGTTAAACTTCTTTCTTCTTTCTTTGGCTTAAGTATATGTTGTTATTGATTTTATGCATAGGTTTGAGAATATTTTATTTGCTTTTGGCAATTCCCTTTAACCTTCTCCCTGCTGCCTAATCCATAATCATGGAGAATCAGTATAAGGAAAATTATAGCTACTGCCAATAAAGAGTGACTGTATCTCTCAAGCCTGTGTGGTTCAAGAGAATACTTCCTCCCTTTCTGCCATACTTTCTGCATGCCCAAAGCAAAAAAAAAAAAATGGGGGTACAAAGGTATAATCACAGCAAACCAGTACTGGCAAATATTGTTATTGGTTCTGCTGGCTTGTATGACAGCCTTACATGTGAAACAACCTCACAAATTGTCAGTTCTTCCTTCCAATGCATGTCTGGTGCTGTAAGTGTAATCCTCAATTTACATTAAATAATACCAATAAGTATAATGTTTGTAATGACTATTTTCAGGAACTGTTGTACTATTGTTGTCATTGTCATTTAAAAGAAAATCTGTAGAGTTTTAAAATGCTCCAAACATTTTCTTTCTGGCAGAGATCACTCTTAAAGATGTGGATAAGGCAGCAGCAGAGTACAAAGCAGCAGTAGAAGATGTCATCTCTAAGATAAGCCAGCAAGTGGACAACCTGGACAGGGAACGCAAAGCAACTGCAGAGAACTGTGAGCAGGTAGAGAAAGAGGTCAAGCAGCACTACGAAGAGTTGATCTCCAAACTCCAGCAGGAGAAACAGGAGATGATCAGCAAGATACAGAAGATCAAGGAAGACAGGGAAAGGGAACTGACTCGGGAGAAAGAAAAACTGGAGACAGAACTGGAAAACAGCAAGGAAGAGGAAAACTTCTTTGAGCAGATTTTAGACCGTAAAGATGACACAGAAGCCGCCTTGAGAGAATTAAGAGAAAGGCTCCAACAAATGGAAGAAAAGGTAGACAAACTCTCCATGCAGGAAACAGGCAACAACAGTTTGGTAGGTCAACCAAAACTGACCTTCAAACAACTCCTATCCAAGGTTCCTGGAGGTTCAGTGTTTCCTCAGGAGAAAGAGGATAAACCTCCAGGGGAAGAGGATAAACCTCCGGGGGAAGAGGATAAACCTCCAGGGGAAGAGGATAAACCTCCGGGGGAAGAGGATAAACCTCCAGGGGAAGAGGACAAACCTCCAGGGGAAGAGGATAAACCTCCAGGGGAAGAAGACAAACCTCCAGAGGAAGAGGAAAAACCTCCGGGGGAAGAGGACAAACCTCCAGGGGAAGAGAAGAAACCTCCAGGGGAAGAGGAGAAACCTCCGGGGGAAGAGGAGAAACCTCCGGGTGAAGAGGATAAACCTCCAGGGGAAGAGGATAAACCTCCAGGGGAAGAGAAGAAACCTCCAGGGGAAGAGGATAAACCTCTGGTGGAAGAGGATAAACCTCCAGGGGAAGAGGAGAAACCTCCAGGGGAAGAGGAGAAACCTCCGGGGGAAGAGGATAAACCTCCAGGGGAAGAGGAAAAACCTCCAGGGGAAGAGGAGAAACCTCCGGGGGAAGAGGAGAAACCTCCAGGGGAAGAGGAGAAACCTCCGGGGGAAGAGGAGAAACCTCCATGGGAAGAGGATAAACCTCCAGGGGAAGAGGATAAACCTCAGGAGGAAGAGGATAAACCTCCAGATGAAGAGGAGAAACCTCCAGGGGAAGAGGAGAAACGTCCAAAGTTCTCATCAGGTTCCTTGTCAGAGTCAGTTAGGTTCACTATTGATGTAGAAGGGCCCGCAGTAGAGAGTCTACCCTGCTCTGTCACAATTACAACTAACAATGCAGATCTAACAGGTGGGAAAGTTGCACCACAGATAGAAGTGACCTCCCCCCAGGGTAAAATCACCCTCATACAAACAACAGCACACACTAGTCCCCCACTAGCTGCAGGGAAGGGACAAACCAGCAGAGTTAGCAGGGTCTGGGGTGCAGAGTGGAGACCTCAGCAGTCAGGCAAACATACACTGGGGGTCTGTATGGGGGGTACGAAGGATCTGGGTTCTCTCACTGTAGATGTGAGCTGTAACAATCCTGTAGTGAGGCTTGGGGAGAACGGTAGCCAGCAGGGGCAGTTTGAGAGTCCTTTCGATGTAGCAGTCAGGGGGGACAGGCTGTATGTGGCTGACAGGAACAACCAGCGTGTTCAGGTGTTTGATCTGAGTGGGAAATTTTGTCACTCATTTCCTACTGGCTGGCCTGAAGGACTTGCAGTTCAGACTGATGGCACCATAGTGGTGTACTCTGGGAAGGAAGTGAGGAAATTTTCCCCATCAGGAGAACTGCTGCACAAATTTCCTTTAGGTAAATATTGCGCAGTCCCCTATGGGCTGGCAGTACAGAGGGATGGGAGGGTTGTGTTAGCTGATCGAGTCAAACACAGCATCTTCCTGTTTGAGGCAGATGGGACACTGGTGAAACAGGTGGGAGGGTGGGGGGAGGGGGAGGGGCAGTTTGGTCAGCCACTATTTGTCTGTGTGGATAAAGAAGACAACATCATTGTGGCAGATAAAGATAACCACCGTGTTCAGGTGTTTGACAGGAATCTGAACTACAAACACAAGTTTGGTCAGTATGGCAGACAGCCACAGGACATGCAGTATCCTACAGGGGTGTCAGCTGACAGCAGGGGGAACATAGTTCTGGCAAACTGTTGGAAGGATGATATTCAGGACGTGTTCCGCCCAGACGGCACCTGGGTGTCCACCATCAGCAGTGATGGGGACAAATGTCCCCTTGGGGTGGCTGTGACAGAGGATGGACATGTGTTTGTAGCTTATCATGGTAACCACTGTATCAGGAAGTACAGATACATGTAACAGTGCAGAATGTTCCAGGTACAAGAACTGTGAGCACCTCACAACCTCACAAGCATTTCTACAGACCCAGTAAAGGTTGTGATGTCATATAGTTTGGTCAGGACCATATGATTTAACCTACTACTACTTATGATGATTGTAAAAGTTAACATTTTGTCCAGAATAAAGAAGCAATGACTGAGCAGGACAGAAATTGGGGCATGTCTGGTTTCAAAGATTTGTACTATGTGCTATTTGTATAAGATGGAACTTAGTCTGCATTTCTATATATATACATCACTTTTGTGATTCCACTTATTACAAGTCTAAATAGGACCTTTCTTCACTTGTTTTGTAAAATGTAGAGTGATTGCAAAATGTACAAGAATAAAATGATCAGATCAATTTATCTACTACATGGCTCTTACAGCTTACTTTTGTTGTGCCCACTTCTAATGCTGAATCCTCCAAGTCTTAAACATCATGACAGAGATATTCTAATGTAAAGAGAATTAGGCAGTCAGCACCAGCACACTGAAAAATGTGTCTAAATAGATCCCCTATGCAACAGCTCTGTATATTAACTCTCAACATAACAGACAGAGGTTCTGTTACTAACAGTAAGGTAAAGGGAAGGCAATCAGCACCAAGGACAGGTCTCATATACCTGCCACTCTGTAAACATGTGTCTAAGATCCCCAATAAAAAATCTGGCAAGCTTTGAAACTCTTGAGGCTTTTCTTAGTCAATCTAATGTTGTTTTTATGTACTGCTGTAAATGTTTTTTTTTAATTAACATTTCTGCAATAAATACAATCACTTTGATATCACAGTTTTCCTTGTGTGTCTGGACTAATTTTTGTAACTGGAAAAGTTAATGTAAGGTCTTATGTTGCACCAGGCTTGCCATGTACAAATGTACAGTAACTGAGTCATGACTGTGCAAGATAAAGCCAAATACTATCTAAAGTGTGACTTTTCTAAATCAACCCTTGGGTGCCTTTCAAAATCAACCACACCTGATTTAAGTTGCCTGATAATGTTACAGGTGATGTAACATTTATCAAAGAAGTGCTATCATTTGTAAATAACTGTACTTTGCAGTCTAGCAGTTACATGTACTGTAATGAAGTATAGAGGGAGCGAAATGTGCACAGATTCAACTGTCGTGAACCAATCACATAACATACAACTGTACAACTTGAGTAAAAGGTGTTATATAAGCAACTTTTGCTTTTTGCCAATACTCAATAAATATTATGTGAATAAACAAACGTACAACTGTATGTACAGGGCTGCACTCTTGCAGTATGGGTACTGGGTGTGGAAACTATAAAACAATGACACTGATAAATAAATTCAGTCCTTGAGCTCATAATGCCTTTTTGATATACTTTGTTTGACCTTATTGTCACTTCTTACCTCATGGCCTCAATGAAAAGTGGCCTGCAGGTCGATTTGAGCTTCTCACGAATAAAAAATTGTTCTAACAAACGTGTAGTCCAGAGTTCGAATCCCAGCTGTTGGCACTCTCCTGACAAGCACACTACTGGAAAGGATCACAGTCCTACAGTTACTAGTCCACTAGTACTGTTTGTTGTGCTTGTTGAATAGTCTCAGCTAGGGGGATTTCCAAGGTACAGGGTCTATCATGTGACTGTGTACGTGTGACCTTAGCTAGGGAAACAGACTGGTAAATATTAACCAAAGCTTCTGGACACTCTGACTGAACAAGTACCCAGAGTGAACAGATCTAGATACTGGGGATCCAAGTTCCACACCCAACTTTACAACAAACAGGTGAGATTTCTACCATCTTGTCTTTCCCTGTACCTGTTAGATCATTCTATATTGGCTTTACTGACATAGATGTTATAGTAATTTCTAAAGTAAACACCATATGATTGAAATAGAACACTGAACTATTAAGGGTCAAAGTCCCTTCCCTACATGAACATGGCCACCATTTTGTTCCCTTTTGAAATATGACTCATTATATAGTAAAGAATTGAATGTAAATATACTGTTATAGAGAAGCAACTTGTAAGTAAATAATGGCTACACGAAGAAATTTCAGCATGAGACTATTTCTCAATGTATTGGATGACATTGGCATGCCTTTTAGTGTGTTAGTTTTTCCAAGTACAATCATGGTACCTGATACATTGTACATTGAATTTCTATTAATTCATTTGTACCCACTTCTTTGTATGCCTGTATAGTTGTAGGGGACCTTTTATGAAAGTTGCTGTACTTTTGTTGTGCCAATAAAGATTGTATAAAATGTTACATGTAAACAGTAATCGGAAAATCAAGTTTAATGTAAATTAATTTCTTCACACTGTAACTAAAATTTAGATTGTCTCAGACAATTAACTCTAACCATCATGTATTTCTGTATCTCCAGAACGCCTAGGAAGAAACACTGCAGCTACCGACCAACCATGGCTGGATTTTCCGCTCTTACTCAGCTGTTCCTCAAGATTTCTGACAGTTTGTCAGAAGACGATGTCAGAAATCTACGGGCTATTCTAGCTCGCGAAGGTCTTGGACAGGCAAAAGTGGAAAAAGCGACTCCTATGGAGATGTTCAACATGCTGGAAGCAGACAATAAGATCGGCAACGGCAACCTTCAGTTCCTTGTGCTGATATTAAGAGGCCTAAAGAAGGGAAAACTAGCAGATGAAGCTGAACAACTTGAACAAGAGCAGAAGAGGGAAGGTATGTCTGATTTATATAATTTGTGCAAGTCCAGCCTAGTTAGCTTTAGTCTGCACTCCCAAAGATCTGCTACTAAAGCTAACAAGGCTGGATTCCAAGCTAGCAAGTTCACACAAAACATAATTAATACTTGGAAGCTGTAACATTATGCAATGGCTATTATTCAACAATTACTACCCAAACATGAGGAAGGTAAAATGTATAATATACAATGAACCTATCACAGTTTGTTTACTTGTTCCAAAGAACATTCTGGAACGGTCAGTTAAAGAATAATGTAATATCATAAGCCATTATGCAATGTACATATTGACCAGTAAAAGCTGAACAACTTGAACACGAGCAGAAGAGGGAAGGTATGTCTGATTTGTAAGTTTTCTGCAAGTCCAGCCTAGTTAGCTTTAGTCTGCACTCCCCAAGATCTGCTAACCTGCCAACTAAAGCTAACAAGGCTGGACTCCAGGCTAGCGAGTGTACACAAAACTTAATTAACAATAATATTTATTATAATGTATCTGGAAGCTGTAACATTAGTGCAACAGCTATTATTCAAACTGTTACTACCCAAACATGAGGAAGGTAAAATGTACATATGCAATGTATGTACATATTGACCAGTAAAAGTAAAGCAAAGTATAATCACAGCTGGATATTGTGATACTAATGCTACCTCCTGGTCTGACTGGTTTTTGAATGCAGTAAGGAAGGGGATCACAGTTTAAATGTGTTTTCCTACAACAATTATGCAAGGTCATAAACTGTAATTTAAAGTATTTTCAAAGTATATAAGTATAAGACGGTCACCAATAAATACAAATTTTGAATTGCTGCAATAATTATTTTCTTGTTGGTAGGGAAGAAAGTTCAGAATCCAGAAGAAGTGGGTAAATCTGCAGTGAAGCCGAAAGTTCCAGTGGAAGCTGGCATCTCTCAGGCAACCCAGGGATTGGAAATGGAGAAACTCACAGCTACACAAGGAAAAGGTGAACAGATGAAAAAAGAGATCACAGGCCAAAGCTTCAAACCTCCATATGTAGAGCAGAAAAAAATCCCAAAAGCACAGAAGGACAGTAGAGATGAAGGGATTCAAGGAAAAAAAGGAATGGAGAAAAGGTCAACACAGGAGGCGGACCATGTTTCTTTCCCAACCTCCAGCCAGTCTCAGGTCTCATCAGGTTCCTTGTCAGAGTCAGTTAGGTTCACTATTGATGTACAAAAGCCAACAGTAGAGAGTCTTTCCTGTTCTGTCACAGTCAGCACCAACAATGCAGATCTAACAGGTGGGAAAGTTGCACCACAGATAGAAGTGACCTCCCCCCAGGGTAAAACCACCCTCATACAAACAACAGCACACACTAGTCCCCCACTAGCTGCAGGGAAGGGACAAACCAGCAGAGTTAGCAGGGTCTGGGGTGCAGTGTGGAGACCTCAGCAGTCAGGCAAACACACACTGGGGGTCTGTATGGGGGGTAGGAAGGATCTGGGTTCTCTCACTGTAGATGTGGTTAGTAACAATCCTGTAATGAGGCTTGGGGAGTTCGGCAGCCAGCAGGGGCAGTTTAACGGGCCTAAGGATGTAGCAGTCAGGGGGGACAGGCTGTATGTGGCTGATACTAGTAATAAACGTGTTCAGGTGTTTGATCTGAGTGGGAAGTTTTGTCACTCATTTCCTACTGACGATCCTAGAGGACTTGCAGTTCAGACTGATGGCACCATAGTGGTGAAATCTGGGATGGATGTGAAGAAATTTTCTCCATCAGGAGAACTGCTGCACAAATTTCCTCTGGGTAAATATTGCACACTCCCCTATGGGCTGGCAGTACAGAGGGATGGGAGGGTTGTTGTAGCTGATCCACAAAAACACAGCATCTTCCTGTTTGAGGCAGATGGGACACTGGTGAAACAGGTGGGAGGGTGGGTGCAGGGGCAGGGGGAGGGGCAGTTTGATCAGCCATGGTTTGTCTGTGTGGATAAAGAAGACAACATCATTGTGGCAGATACAAACAACGACCGTGTTCAGGTGTTTGACAAGGCCCTGACCTACAAACACAAGTTTGGTCAGCATGGCAAACAGCCACAGGAGATTTGGGAGCCTATGGGGGTGTCAGCTGACAGCAGGGGGAACATAGTTCTGGCAAACACTAGTTTTGAACTCAAGAAGCTTCAGGTGTTCCGCCCAGACGGCACCTGGGTGTCCACCATCAGCAGTGATGGGGACAAACTGAGCAGTCCCCGTGGGGTGGCTGTGACAGAGGATGGACATGTGTTTGTAGCTGATATTGATGACTGCTGTATCAGGAAGTACAGATACATGTAACAGTGTAGAATGTTCCAGGTACAGGAACTGTGAGCACCTCACAAGCTCAGTAAGGTACACTCTGGAACAAGCATTAGTACAGTCCTAGTAAAGTATGTGATGTTATCATAATGGTTTGGTCAGGAACTGAGTACAAGTAACATTTTGTCCAGGATACAGGAGCAATAATGTCAGAATTGGGACATGTCTGGTCTCAGTAGATTTGTACTATGTGCTATATGTATAAGATGGAACTAAAATAGTCTGCATTTAAATGCTTACATCACTTTGTATAGTTAAATTTGTGATTTGACTTATCATGAGTCTAAAAAGGATCTTTCTTCACTACACCATTCAATGTGTCTTTTTGTTAAATGTAGTAATTTCCCTACCATTACTTTGTGCATGAATAAAAAGATGATCAATTTACATGGCTTTTGTGACTTACTTTTGCAGTGTGTGTGTGTTTGCATGATATATTGTGCATATGCATGTATGTATGACTGTGTGTGTGTGCATTGTGTGTGTGTATGTGCATGTGTGTGTACAGTCTATTTGTGTGTGTGTGTGTGTCTGTCTGTCTGTGTGTGTGTGTGCATGTATTTGTGTGTGTATTTGTGTGTGTGTGTAGGTGTGTATGGACCCTCTCAGGCGAATGGATACTGTCTGGCCAATTTGATACTGTCTTTCCCATCCTAGGATCGGCTTGGAGATTAGTTTATAAAGCATTCCAAGCCCTGTGCTGTCTACTACCTTCCATGACACTAGAAGCACTGAACTTGTGCCCACTTCTAATGCTGAATCCTGTCCCAAGCCTTATACATGTGCAGGACTATGTGAGCCATGATAACAATTATGGTTTCTCCATGATATCTGTGATGGTGTTTCTTATTGATGCACCTCTTTATAAAACAAAAAAATAAAGTGAAATTCTAAACTACTGCCTTTTGCCTTCAAGTTGCTGGATTTCCCTGTTCTGTACAAAGAGTTAGAAGACATAGCAATAGAGCAGAGCACCCCTGTTCTCTAGAATAGGAAAAAACTGATGTAGATCTGACAAGACTGGAAATACACAGCTGAAAACTTTATTATTGGTCTAATTTCCTTCAGAAACTTGTAGGCTCTGATGATGATAAAAAAGACAGAGAATTCAAGAATATCTTGAGTAACTTCAGAGTCAAAAGTTTTTATGACACTCTAGAAGTTATGGAGAACTAAAAACACCATGGTGTAACATCTACTCACATAATGCTGCAAGGTCTCATATATAAATTTTGCAATGCTGAAAAATGTGTCTGAACAGATCCCCAATACAGGAGGAATAACAGATTATCATGAAAGTTCATCTGTGTTGGTAGTAATCATAGTAAAACATTGAACCTTATTCCAACACAAGGTGTTACAGAGCGATCAAATTTTCGACGACCACTGTCGCCTTCATCAGGCACTTTTGATCAATTGCTTACGTCACGTATCAGTAAAGTCTTGTGTGAATAAGGTCACTTGTTTGTAAACCGTAACTGTCGCGAGATCATGTTGTGAAGTGATTGGTCATTAATTATCCTGATGAAGGCGACAGTGGTCGTCAAAAATTTGATCGCTCTGTAACCCTTGTTTTGGAATAAAGTTAAATGTTTTACTATGAGAAATGACAGAGACAGAGAAACAGTTGTAATGTAAAGGGAAGGTATAATCAGCACCAAGGACAGCTACCATCCTGACAACATGTGGCTACACAGGTCTCATATGCAACATCTCTGTGTTATAACACTCATTATAACAGAGACAGAGATACTATAATGTAAAGGGAAGGCATTCAGCACCAAGGACAGGTCTCATAAACCCACTATCCTGAAAAAAACAGTCTAAACGGATCCCTAATACAAAATCTAGTATGTATGATAACACACATCATGACAGAGATACTACATGTAAAATGTATAATGTAAAGGGAAGGCAGTCAGCACCAAGGACGGGTCACATACATGTATACCCCCCACCCTGACAAAATGTGTCTAAACAGATTTCCAATAGAAAATCTAGTATATAATTAAAACACATCATGACAGAGATAACATTAGGGATACTAAAATGTATAAACTAAAGAAAAGGCAGTCAGCACCAAGGACAGGTCACGTATGCCTGCCACCCTGACAAAATGTGTCTACCCTAAACAGATCCCAAATACAAAATCTCTGCATATGAACACTCAGAAAGACAGAGACACCACAACTAGAAGTGTTAAACACCAGGGTCTATCGTGTGACTGTGTACGTGTGACCTCAGCTTGCTATAAACACACTGGTTAATAATAAATGATATCTGGATGCACTTTGACCTTTGTGCAAGCACCTACTCAGCAAACAGGAGACCCAAGTTCCACCCCCAACTTCACTACAAACAGGTGAGATTTCTACCAAGTCTTTCCCTGTACCTGTAAGATGACTCTATGTTAGCTTTAGAGAATGACATAACAGTTAGTAAAGAGACTCTTTTTACACAACTGAGTCTTTCATTCAGCCGATGTTTTGGTGACCGTCTGTCACCTTCCTCAGGGCAATTCTGACTGGTTCACATTGCACTGCAGCACAGGTGTCGCTGAATAAAAGACTTGGTTGTGTAAAAAGAGTCTCTTTACTCAGAGTCTTACCAACCTGATGAAACTATTGACGGATGATACAACAGTTGCAGTAACTGGAACTCAATCTCTAAATGACATGTTAGACACTTGGGAAAAATCCCAGGCTAGGGGTCAAAGTCTCTCCACAACACTGGCCTGTGTGCTTTAACTTTTACTGCACATTAAAGAATCCAGGACCTGGTTATGAGTCATTCAAACCTTGCCTCAGTGCATTAAAATTAGCCTCTTTAGAGTTTTACTGAGGCTTTGATGATAACAAAAGAGGCACAGACATATGTTATGAAGACACAAACTGCAGGTTAAAGTGATGATGGCAAAAACTAGTGCTAAAAAATATTGAACAAGCAGTGCCCAAAATTAGGGCCATGCTCCATTCTCTACATTGTGTGACCAACAGTTGTTTAGTCATTGAAGTTTCTAGTTCAAGGACCTGACGAGTTTGCTTCAAGCATGATTTGTTATTAATTTATTAACCTACTTGTTAGCCCCTTTGGTAATACAATAGTTCATAACATCATACCTGTTTAAGCTTATCTTGAAAGTTCATCTGTGTTGGTATAAGTCATTACGCAGAAGTCATTAGAAGTCATTATGCACAATCCACCATGGTGGATTGGTCATTCCTTGATAAAGACTGGAGTTGTACAGTCGAAAATTTGGGTGAGTCCAATTTTTTTTGTTGGAAATTACAGTTAAAACTTGCTGCATAATACATGTACCTGTTTAAGGTACACATGTCCCTGATACACACCTGTCTGTTCCAGGTGTTTCCATGTACCTGACAGACACCAAACCCTGACACCTGAATGAGTCATCATGGCTGAGGGAAGACAGGGAGGACAGACAGGTAAGGCTGCATATGTCCAGTTCCTCAACTTTTGAAATTACAGACACGTACAAATGTATACCCACCCTGCCATGATGCAAAATGGTGTACAGTAACTGTTGTTATCCTTAATATGGAATAAGCAATACCTTCAAATGTTCTATATGCTACAAATCCATTACCAATGTTCTTGAAAAGGCTTCTATCAAGGAAGATGGTTTATTAAAAACACCAAGTGGGACTTCCTTTTTCCTCTTTTTCTCATCAGATCCTGGAAAGTTAGCTCTAAAATTGTTTAGTAACATTTCCTTTACTTACAATCATTTATAAACCAAATTTTCCAGCAAATATATGTTAACAGTAAATCTTATTTTGTATAAAAACTGTATAAAATATTGTACTAGGAAATTATTTGGAACATTATAATAAATATCACTTTATGAGTGTCCAGCAAAAATAAAAGTGTGGCCACTCAACACATTCATCATGTCATGTAGTCTTATATGTTCATAATATGTAGACTTACAGTCTGCCTGTATTAAATGTCTTTATGTTAATGTCTGTATTAAATGGTAATGTCTTCAAGTTACCAAGTACATGTACGCAACCATAAGTTTTGTTTCCCTAAATACTGTTTTGTTTTTCTGAAGGTGCTGGGAGACCAGTAATCTTGGTGATCAACGATGAGTATGGAACTTCCAAGGGGGGAATTTCTACCATGAACTGCCAGGCTAGTCAAACCCTGACGAGCAATGGGGCAGTCGTGTACGCCACAGTGCTACAGCTGAATGTGCCCAAACAAGACCAGGAGGCAGCAGACAGAGATAAGGTCAAACTGATCAAACCCTATCGAAAAGTAGGGGACACGAGAGAGCCATCTATGGACTGGCTGGTCTCTGACTATCTGATCCACTACCCAAAAACAACGCTACCACAACATGCATACTGGGAAAGCCACGACATGGAATCGGCGCTACCACCACATGTTGACGTCATCATCGGCCACGCTGACGTCACAGACACGGCAGTGCGAAACATCCACGACGAGTACTACAAGGAGGCAGACCTCATCATGTTCACTCACGTCTTACCCGAGGACACCGAGTACTTCAAGGGAGGCCAAAAGGCCATCAAAGCTTCAGAAAAAGAGGAGACTATGCTCAGTCAAGTTCACAATGCAAAGGCAGCTTTCTCCGTGGGTCACCTGATTTATTACCACTTTCAGAATAAGTACAGAGGAGTCAAGAAACCAATAGATCATTACTTGTTCTTCCCAAGGCCATCCAAGATATTTGAAGAGGTCAACATCCAACCTGACAGCGGGGAAGGTGAGTTGGTGGTCCTGTCTATCGGGAGAGTGAAGAATGTTGAGAATCTGAAAGGTTACAACCTTGCAGGAAGGGCCATTGGGATTGTCAGAAGGTATCTGGAGTTTCTGCGATGGATCACGCGCGGCATCAGCAAGGAAGATTGGGAGAAAAGCATGAAGATCCTGGAGGCCAACCTGAACAGCGGTGACCTGAAGCCCACCCTGCGGCCGTACGGGACCCAGGAGGATATCAGGAATGACATGATGACAGCCCACTTGGTCCTGATGCCGTCCCGCTC